TTACGGCGTCAAGGTAACGTTGGACCAGTGTTTTTCTTTCGGCGTTTTCGATGTCATCTATAAAGTCGTCGGTCTGCTGGACAGGAACTTGTGCTTCGAACATGCGGTGACATCCTTGGCTAATCGTAAAACCTGGACCAAGGATACGCAAGCTTCCTCGTAGGTATTGTAAGAACGCAATGGCTGAGGCATTTCCTACAAACACTTTGGACTCAAGCGGTTAGCTAATCGTGTCACGCTTAAGGACGCCTCGATATCGTCGATAAAGCGGCGCTTGGTGTTAGTATCGTACCTTTTTCTCCACTACATGTGTACATCATCACCGGACGCGGACCGGGCGGCGTAATCGTCTTGCCGGACGTTGACGAGGCTGCGGTCTCGTCCTCATCTTGCACAGATGATTCTTGACGCTGACAAAGTAGGGGTGACACCTGATCACGCTGCCGAGTGCCTGAAGTGGCCGAAGATCGATTCGGCGGTGCGCGACGAGCCCTCAAATGTTGAGAATAAGTGCAGGACGAGCCGACTCCCCGTTTGACGCATGATCGACATGGCTGTGCTGCGTCGCAACGCTTCTTGGTCGCTCGGCACGCCGTGCAGGCCCTGGTGGACCGTTTTCGGTCTTCGGGGCGTACCGGCGGCCGGGGCATGGCGTGGAGTTTGTGTTGCCCAATGCCTTGGACACGGCGGCCGAAAGTTGCGGGCCTACCCGGAGAGGCGGCACTGAATGCAGGCTGCGGGCCGACGATGCAAGGTGCAATTGCCGCCAATTCACATTAGATGGACACAGAGCGATTCCATCAGGTTGTAAATCAACGTGTTTCGATCATGCTACGAAAGGTCGCAATGCTTCTGAAAGCTACAAGGCTCCGTCATTGAGTAAGCAGATAAGCAACGTAAACATAATTGGAAGTTGAGATAGGCTTATCAAAGTAGTTCCCCGGATTGTCAATTCCAATCGGCGGCCAATTGGTAGGGTAAAGTGAATTCCCATTGATGTGAGCGGTGCTCGGCCCGCACACTTATCGTCGAACAGCCTGTAAGTCCGTAAGTCCGTATGTCCGAGCTCTCCTTCTGTACGGAAGTTCCGCCTCCACTGACCAATCCAAGGCCCTATCTAATTAGCAGTGAGGATAGAAACTCGGAATATCGTCATGATACGAGCACTAGTTTATAATGACTCGGCCGGAGCTCATCCCGTGCCATGCGGTGCACTTAGTATGAGTTGCCACCTTGATGCAAAGTATCTCATGTTATAAGTTCTCATACTCTCCCAGTCTGATCAACGAGCTCACCGAAAGGATCCCAAACTTGAAATCACGCCGGCAAGGAAAAGTACCCTGTAACGCCACTATGTACGCAGACATCAGCAAACCCCCAGCTCCTCTTCCCCAGTCTGAGTTGAAGACGGTTGGAAGCGGAGTTTCAATACTGTCACCTCTTTCTCGCCGCGGGGTTGGGCCGGGCCTCATTCTTCTTGTCCCTTCAGTGGACAACGCGCTGGCAATTGAGGAAGGCGTGCCCGCATTACCCCTGAAATGGGCCGAGGAGGGGTACACAGTCATTGCTATTCAGCCAACAGCGTTCAAAATCGGTGCACGCGAGACTCTCGAACTTGCCATTCAAACATTCCGAAAGAGTGATAAGTGCGACCCAAAAGACGTGGTTGGCCTTGTCGGTGAGTTGCAGTCTCCGTCACGCGTACTGGGCATGGCTAAATGAGCTGCCTTAGCATACGAACCAGAAATGTGGAACACAGTCGCGCCGATCCTATCTGAATTTCCAGAGATTGTGAGCACCGTGGTGTACGCAGATAGCTCAGAGAGGTCATCTATCTCCAGCAGCACTTCACCCGCAGTCTATCACTTTGCTGGAAAATCCGAGGGGCAGCCCTTGCGATCAAAGGGTCGAACAGAATACTTTTACCCAGCAACCCAATCCTTCAAATTCGCAACTCCGTTCCAGCCGCACTTCGATTACAACATGGATATGCTCTCATACACTCGCAATCTAACTTTGCTGAAAGGCGAAATGAAAAGCCCCATTTTCGACTTGGAGGCTATTTGGGACGAGCATACTTGGTATGAGTTCGCCGATAGATCTGTGGAGCACACTATGAGCACAATGGTGCAAGAGCCATACGTCAACCACATCCCAACGGTAAGGGAAAAGCCGATTGTGCAAAAACATACCACAAGGAACACCCTTTTTTAACGCTTTCTTGTTCAGTTAACCGGTGGCGTTGGTCGCGATAAGCTTACTGACTTTTATCGTCACAATTTCATCTTCAATAACTCAGCGGACACGGAATTAGAGCTTATCAGTCGAACCATTGGTATTGATCGTGTAGTTGATGAGTTCATATTTAAGTTCACACACGATCAGGAGCTCGACTGGCTGTAAGTATAAGCATAACCAATCCCATTTTCTCATCAGTAGATTATGCCGGTACATGTACTGACAAGGTGACAAGCCTCCCAGGTGTTCCGCCAACCAACAAATATGCGGAAATCCCGTTTGCTGCGGTTGTCAACATCCGGGGTGATCGCCTATATCACGAGCACATCACTTGGGATCAAGGTACAGCCTTGGCTCAATTGGGCCTCCTTCCGGAGTACCTCCCTTTCCCAGGGGGTAATCTCCAGTACAAAGTTCCCGTTGCGGGCGTGGAGACAGCAATGAAGCTAAGAGCGCGAAATTCTGTTCCGTCGAACGAGATGTTCAAGTTCACAACTCGCCCCGCAGACAGCGAAAGAGTGAATCTAGAGAAAGTGGTTCCGGCTGTAACCGAGAATGGTGTAGCACCAATTGCAAATTAACGGAGGCCGATGCTTTTTGTAGGATTGATTCAATGAAGTCTTTCTACTATGCGTAAAAGAAGTCTCATGGGCTGCCATGCTCGATGTTCCATATTGACCCTAATGTTGAATCTCTGCCTGATCTAGACTACTCGGGACTGAAGTATATATGCTCCTGTGTCTAACTTTCGTGCTTGGGGTATTTTGTTATGCGATAGGCTCTTCTCTCTTTTCGTTTCATTGCCCTGTACCTAGACTGCAGACGTAGAAACCCTGCAAGAACGTCTATGAAGGCTGGCAAGTATTTATCCACAGGCCTTGGAAGCCCGTTTTTGGCTCTCCTGCTTCTCCTACTTCTGTTTTAGGCCTTACGAAGCCACAAGCCTGACATTCCGTTTCGCAATTTTTCCGCAACTTCAACAAGTATGTATTCCTCCAAAGACCCTTTCTCTCAACACGCGCCTGTCGAACTGCGGCGCATTTGTATGCAAGCTCTGGATCAGAAGCTCTAGTATCTGTGACGAATTGGATAATCTTCTCGATCAGTCCGTCGTACTCGTCGTGTGACACCTTGGTAGTGAACTCTTTCTGGCGCACGGCTGCAACGAGGTATTGTACAAAGCGAATGAATTCGGGCCCCTGCTTAAAGGTTCCTTGTGGCATGAGATTGCCATCGATGAATTTTCTCCAGGTGAAATCCCAAGATCTGTCGAAAACGGGTTCGTCGTCCCTTTGGTGGCGCTCTTTTTCCCACTTGGCTTTGCTCCATATTCCGCATGGCTTGTTGCTAGGGACTGGAAGACTGAGTTCTTTGATGACACTGTCGGCCAAGTAGCTATACTTCAAGCGAAATTTGATCATAGAACAAATGTCCATGCCGTCGGTGGATGCCTTTTCTGACTCGATTGTGTCAAGAAGGGAGTCCTGGATGTAAGCGCCATGGCCGCTGTACCAGTCTCCAGGCCAGAGTTCAACAAAAAGTTTGGACATTTCCACGACTCTTTCACGGCATGAAGAGCAGGTTTTCAAGGTCTGTTCGTCTTCTTGGCCGTTGAATGTGCAAGTGAAATGCCAATGCACTTGGTCGCATTCAACTTTGACAAGCTCGTTCAGTCTCGCCACCGTCTCGTAGTATTTTGATCCTAGCATCGTATCGTCACTGGACATATCGGTGAGATGAAAGGTCTCGAGCATCATCTTGTATCTTCTTGATGGTGTTATTTAGTTAAGGAGCTGATATTTTTTGAGTCTGATGGGCTTTCTTGAACGCAACTTTGTACTACCTTACTGGGAAGATATGCAGACTTGATACATATATGTACCTTGGCCACTGAGCTTTCTCCGAAACTTGACTCCCTTCCTGGATTTTAGGCTACATCGAGGTCTGCGACGGAGGCCGTTGAGTTTCCTATTTAAATAATAGAATGGAGCCTTTCGTGGATTTGTGGAACCCTGGACACCCTTTTGACCGCACTGGTGAACCTTCTCTTGACGCCATCCACTTTAAGATATGACGATACCATGGATCGTGCAATCTTCTGCCTGATTAAAGATGTTGAACAGGACCTATCGGCTTCAAGGGACCACAACGGTCGCGATGGCTTCTCCCCTACAGTGGCGGATTGTGATATCTGGTTTTTCTCCCCCCGAAGAATTTGATCCTGAATCTCCCCAGTCTTGATGCCATCAAGTCATCTCTTCCGCAAATCTCTTCAAACCCCCTTCAAGTTTCAATGGCAAATGATTGGGACTTCAGCTATCAATACTGCGATTTACCCCTGGTGCTTCTTATACTGGCACTTGAAGCGATCACATGCATCTATAGCATGCCATCCTATGTTGATACTCCAGAAAAACTACGCCGTGAGCTCAAGGCAATTCGGGACTCGATTGATGAAGCGCTACAAGCATTTCAACCGCCTTTCTCTCGCGCCATCACCGCCGAAACCCTAACGGCAGATGCATCAACAATTGAAACGAGCCTTAAAGAACTGCAAAGTCTTTGGGACGGGCGAGAAATGAACAAATATTGGATTGCGATATGGGCCATGGTCAAGAACATCATCACCAAAAAGATAATTCTATCTGAGAAAAATGCTGAAAAGGCTTTGGATGAAATCATGGCAAGTACACCCATCCGATCCCTTCCATATTTGCTCTAACTTACTTCTAATGATCAAAGTTGGGCAAGAACTTACGGACATGCTTCCTATGCTGAGGCACCCGTAGTTCTAGCACATAGCTCTCCAAAACATCACTGTAACGAAGTAAGGTAGCTAACGATTGTGTTCAAGCATAAATATACCCATCCCCACCCAAGGCACAAATTGGCATACGGCCTCAATTCAAAGATCATCAAGAAGGTCGCAGACGCGCTAGTGGATTCCTGGGAAAACCCCGAGGATTTGACACATGTTGAGTTTTTCTATTTACTCACTTGGATCTCCAATACCATCGGCAACGATAAGTCAGCATGGTTTGCTATCGAGGATGACGAATGGTCCAATATGGTTACTCGCAGCTACCTGGACATCAGAGAATATATTGCTCGACAGCCCTTCATTCTCCCTACAGCCATTACCCCTATGGACCGGTTAGCTCTGCACTATGTCGTTCCCAAGTCAAAAGAAATCCTCAAACAAGTCATTCCAAAACTAGTTGGCTTCATGGACCATGACATTTTCAAACAAGAAGATGTGGCTCGCGAGATCTACGATTTGGGTTTTCTTCCTGCGCCTATTTCCGCGAAGGACGTACCGGAAGCGGCTAGGCGTCGGGTCAAGATGGCTGATATACACCTGAAGAAGGTTGTAGGATCAGCGATGGTTCGTGGCTTGCTTCGAAGATGGATTGCAGCTGGCCCAGATCCAGTCGGCATTCTTAAGCTGACCCAGGTTCGGGTTGAAGATCTTTGCAAGACACTAGGAGATGACGTTCTGCCATCAAGGGAATAAAGAAACAGGCAAGAGAATTTGAGGCTTCATGAGCCTGCAAGCTGGACGCTCAGCCGTGACGGACTCGGATAATTACTGTGTGCAAGTGGGGAAAGTGTACAAGTGGCCAGCAAGGGAACAGCGGGCCCTCCAAACTACAGACACAATCTTCGCGAGGGCAAGAGGGATATGCGGCTCAAATGGAAGCCTAAAAGCCCAATGAGGCTTCACCGTTATTTGGGGCTTGACCGCCAGGCCGGCCCCAGATGGCGCCGCATCGAGCTGCTTCCACGGTCAATCAATAAGAACGCATCAAGTACCTCTTTCGAGTCACCTCGAAAGGGATGGGGTAGTAATAGTGGTGATAAGCTCATCATAACATAAATTTATTATACCATGCGGTTCATACGATCCATCTGATCCATCTCATAGCTCCCATTATGCCCTTCAACGTCACTTCTCGTATCATACTGCACAACGATTTCATTTGTCCTGACGATCTTGCCAAACCCCGGTTCCGGCTCGACCCCAAGTATGCTTTTATCGCTCCTATCATCGGCGAGCTTGTCCCATTTCCTCCTGATAGAACCCTTGCGTGTTGTCGAAGTTGTTACTGTTACTGTGTTGGTCCGTGTGAGGCCGCCACCGAATCGGGATCCGTTGGTACGGGTGGCTGAGTTGCCGTAGTACTTGCGAGCAGTACTTGCCACATCGCGGATGAGGACACGTAGAACAGGTATTGAGGCCGCCATGATAGTTACACCTGATTCCACAGTCCCCCATATGACAAGATCGCTGCCGTCATCTGCAACGGAAAGTCAGTCTGATACCTTTCATTGAAACTCCTTGGTGCCTCGTTGCTTACAGGTGAAGTCCCCGGAGAGCAGGGTGGGAATCGTCGTGCACTTGACAATCGAGGTCCCGCCAGCGCTAGAGTCCCAGGTTAGATAAGATAGTCAAACACACACCAGAGGATTAGACTTACAATAGTCCCATACTCATGGCAATACCGACACCAATCTTCTCCTTCATCTTCATTTGAAGCCCCCATATCAACTTCCATGGAAGCATGGCGAGCAGTATATCCATCAGAGCAGAATATCCTGACAGGTGTTAGCAAAAGAGTTCGTCTGAGCAACAGCCGTTAAGCCATACCTGCAGCAAATACCCCGTAATAAGCTGCTACCTTCGGACTCCAGCACTTTCCCGGTGTTTGGGGTAGCCAGTACTTTTCGATCGGGGTACACTGCACCCAAGCAGCCATCGCGTTGAGACCCATAAGCACGTTCATCGATATAATCGCACCCCATATCAAGTTTCTTGTCCAACCCTTCTCTTCGATTCGAAGTAATGTCATTGCGAATGATGTCTTGCTCCACACTGCCGATATGATCGATATCGTACTGATGACATTTCCGTTCAAGCCGATCTGAGGGAAGTTGACTGGATTGATTTGGTACACATGTTTGCCGAAGCCGAGGGACACATTCCATGTTGTTAATGCTGATGCGATCATCAAGGTAACCTGGAACAATATTTGTCTTCAGTAAGAGAGCCCCAATATATGACGGAAAGACTGAACGAACCCAAGATGCTATGAGAACATGGTCATCCCACCAGAGTCCACTGCGCTTCTTAAATTTGCAGTATAATCGTAGGCACAGGAAGAATAGCGATGCTCCAACCTGAGACCAGATAACCGCGTTGATCGTCGGCCCATAGTCCTCCGGCCGCCCCATTTGACCAGCCAAAAGGGGTTACTTCCTTCGCCCAAGCGATGTTCGGATGTCGAAGGAGGCTCAAGACACAGACCAGCCGTTGCGTGTTTGATGACGTCCAGAAAAGGCAAAAAGAATATCAAAGAGCAGCCACGCAACTCGCGGCGGGTATCGCAAACTAAAAGAGACACGAGAAAGAAACTGAGAAGGGAAAAGACGTAAAACACGCATCCACTCGGAGTGTGGGGGATGACAACTGAGATATGACATCGCATTCCCTCTTCTCCACCCTCTCAGCCTAGTTCATTACCTACAGATAGCCATTGCACCCGGCACTACGGGGAAAGGACTGGGCACCCTGCGAGTATGCAGCTGCCGACGATCGACTTGTAAGGATGAGACGATGATCACGCAAAGGTGTTGGCGCGCTGTAGGGTTCTCCCTAGTTTCAGATGGTCAACCCGGGGTAGATTGATGGCCTTCTAGAAGAATGGAAGAAGATCTCTTCGTTGCGTCTAGTCTCGACAGCGCTGCTTGTGTCAGGAAAGCGGAGCCATCCAGCTGGGAATGACAGATTCCGGACTGCCATCATCGAACAACCGTCGTGTGGCATCATGTCATTGTGCCCGTGTCCGCGTTGTGGGGGGGATGAACGAGCCAAGCAAGAGCAATGACTCGAAGTCAAACTGATCTTGGCCAGGTATTCTTCGCATGCTTTGCTGAAAATCCTGCCGCTTGACCGGATGCTGGCTAATTTCTGCGACTTGTCAGAGAGATTGTAAACATGATTCTTTCTGTCTCGTGGTCCTTGATTGTGGCCGATGAGATTGAAGAACAGTATTCGGTGAGGTTGAGTACGCCGTGAGTCAAGGGGACCCAGATGAACAGCTCGCGCTCGGTTTTGAGCAGCCTGCGCCTCTCGTCTCTGTTAAACTACCATTGCAAGGATAGATGAGTCGATAACCCTGCCTTAGCGTCGAAGTCAAAAAACTAAATTACTTAGGTCGCATTCCGGTTCAGCTGGGAAAACAAGCGAGAATTGGAGATGTGTTAGACGAGATGGCATGCCCAACGCCTATCCGCAGCAACGCTGCATAGGCGGAATCTTACCAACGGCTTTGTGTGCCGGCGCGGCAATTTGCGACAATTGCAAACACGAGCGGAGAGAGAAAATCTGCCGTCCGTCTCGTCCCTCAGGTTTTCTGACAGTATTCACTCTGCCCTCATCCTACCTTCTTCAACGGGCAATTCAAGATCTGTGCAAGGATGTGGCCCGAGTCAGGGAGGTAAGAAAGCGGCAAATCATCCGCGGCCCCGAGTCCGGGTCAGCTGGCAGGGCGCATGGCTGATGTCGTCTCAGAATGTCAATGCAGACAGGGAAAAACTCTGCTCGTCGGGAGGCTCAGCAAATCGCCAAGGCGATGCACAAATGGGCCAATCGTGAGGTAGGGCTGGGCGTTGAACATGGTTCCCGGCCGATGCGTTTCGCCTGATGTATTTCGTCACCGAATCTATTTAAGGGTAAACTGGTGGGTTCCAGGTTTTCGGTATGGCCGTTCTCTTAAGTACAGGCAACTTGCTTGTGTGCTCGCATCTGATTTCACATCTCGTTCCTGCGTCGTGAGTGACACTTGCCGATTTAGCTGCGCTGGCCTAGACCCTATGACCATTAGACTCTGCGATGTCCCTGTCGTAGAGAACAGTACTGCATCCTAGCCCCGACCCCATCAGACTTCGACCACAGACAATTTCTAATGAGGCGAAAGGTAACGTAGGTAAACATAAGCATTAGATGTTGAAGACTGTCCGCTGAGGGTATGCCACTACCACTGGCTTGTCCCACGTGGATACCGGTAACTTGTTGCACCTTCAGAGAAGCAACCATCGAAGACTATATATCAGTACTTAGATAGTGGGGTATCAGTTAGATTTATCCGAGTAGGTAATTACTGAAACAGCCCACGGTTTCCATCGTTCCTTCACACAGGTACAATGGTTGGAAGCATTGTTACATGTATCAACTTGGGTTCCTGTCTTGGGAGTGCAATTCCCCTTGATCTGGATATGGGCAGGCATCACGTGCTGAATGGTTTATTCTTTACAGAGGATCGATCATCTTTGCGCCAAATCCGATGGACTCAGTGGACGAAATATAGCTTGTTTACACCCCATTTGTCTTCTTGTCAACTCGGGAATTTCCGATCGACCGAAACTCCGATGGTTAAACATAACAATAATGAGAGATCACCTATCACACTTCAAAACTTGTTCAATATGATCAAGGTAGTGAAGGCATGATTAAGGCTTTTCCATGATCCACATTTTAACATCAATGCGATGTCGAAACCTTTAAAATCAACTTTTGGTCGTCAACCTGGCAACTCTTAGGCTATTTCCGCGCATTTTACTTGGATGTAGCTTTCAAGACAGCTTGAATGCGCCAAAAGACAAGAATAGGACTAACCTCATCTCATCATAAGTTGCGGCTGGTAACTTAAAGGCATTCGCAAAACACTGTTGATTTGATTGGGCATACGATTGAAAGTTTTGGATGGGATCTGATCAGATAAGAGCCACCCATTGTATTTCGCTGCGAGATTTGAATATGAGAACTTGCTAGTAATGAGAAAACTATAAGTCCGCATCTCTGGTATCACTCTAACGTATCATCAAGTCATGGAACATTCTTCATTCGAAGATGAAGCTAGGAGAAATCTAACAACCTGGTCAATGCTTCATTTCCATCCTACTACTACAGCCCCCAGACGATACTTGGAGTCATTCCTGTCGACCTAATACGAATTTGAAGTAGATACACAATCTCTCCATAGAGGTTATCAATATGGCAATTCGCATAGACCGTGCAATGGATTTGATTGGAATCCACAAGCCTTAAGTAACGACATACAGCTTGCACGTAACAGCTGCGATTCTCGTTATAAATTTGGGGCCTGACATGCTCTGTCCCTCATAAACTATCCCTCAATATATTATGGGAATGCGTTAGCTATAGATATAGCGACCATGTACTTCACGAACACACAAGACTAACAATACTACAACCCAACTTGTTTGTGGATTAAAGTGAATTGTAAGTCATCGATAATCCTGGAGACTTCAGCTCCCTAAGCTAGCAACTGGCCATTGCCAAGAGCGATGTTATAAAGCCCGTATTGACCACAAGTCGAACGATAGTTCACGATATTGCCGTACACTGTCAATCTGTTACATTGATGACCTTTCTCTCAAGGGTGTATCGCTATCAAAATCAAAACCCACTGGCCTATAAAATTTGTAGCTATAGATCTCACTCTAGGTTGAAAGTCATGTCATGACATTTCGGCAGTTTCTCAACGTAAGACATTCAGTCGTTGTTTCACTACGGGCATTCGTACGCTGTATTTCGGTGATGCAACATTTTTGCACTGTTCTCTCGGATTCCGACACAACCTGACGTACTCTGCCCAGATGGCAAAATCAGACGTGACGGAGTCCATACCTGTTGAGGCTGTTTAGAAAGCACCAGCCCAACAGAAGAGCCTATGTGAAGGCAGCTTTGATCGCAGTGCAGTCCTTGCTGTATCTTCGAGAAAGATGCGAGGCTTGACGCATCTGGGGGCATGATGAACATACATGTAGAGAGCTGCTTCTTTCTTTCTCTCAGTACTGGGCGTTGAGTGCGTTAACGACTATGGGGATTGGCATTTCCGAGCCCTGTTAGACGACTGAAAGCACCCACACAGACGAATTCAGATCTAGTCAGTGCTAATAAATATCCCCCTTCTTCCCTGTGCCCGTTAGGGCACGTCAAAGTCGCCACCGTAAACGTAATAAGTGCGATTGTATTGATGCGAGAGTGAAATGATGACTACGGGGTTAGCATTTAGTCGACACACTGCTGTCTCGTCAAGTATCTGATTTATCATTTTCACATACGACCTAGTTGAAACACAAGAGGAACGCAAGCTTTAATTCTGTATTTCTAAGGTACAGATGCCTATGTAGGGAACTTGGCTCTGTTGACAACGTGCTTCTCTCAATGCTTTCATCTTCCAAATGTCATGTCGTAGAGAGATTGCCTGCAAAAAAGTCAGGAGCCTCTATGTTGCGATTTCATGGAGTCCGCTCACAACAAATACTTGAAGTACTAATACTCACGGAATCCACATGATTGAAGACTAGATGGGGCAGAATTCACATCAGACAGTGATCATAGCCCATTGACGTTCATGTTTTCCAAACTAGCAGGACTGTGTGCCAGAATTCGGCGAGGAACCGAATTACGGCACGGCTACTAGCCTAGGTACTTCGTTCATGTCTGTTCGATGCTGGTGAAGTCTGAGAGAGTTTAAGTACGATCTCGCCTCTACCACTACTTAGCATTTGTTGTCTTCGATGTTATGTAATGGACCTGTACATTCATGTGTAAGTCAAGAAGGAATTCAAATATCACGGGAAGGGGATGATGGGTACCACACCGCTGACCTGGAGATGCCTCTCTGACTTGGATTGAGCATGGCTAACAGGGAGAGTTCCTAGAGTTGTCTGAGAGCTCTGCATCAGTCGAGATATTAGAACTCAGCGCACTGACAGAGAATGAAGGTGTGAGCACATCTTTCTGAAGGCAGCTTGCATAACTACTAGTTCAGTCTGTTCGTCTGTTGATAGTCTAACAAGCACCATTTAATACCTCATTGTCGCGGCCACGCATGATCACATGATGTTTTAGGTTCTGATATCTACGTGTTTAAACATGAATTAAGAGAAGAGGAATAGCTGGGGATGCCATCTCTTCAAAAGTCTGGCTTTTATTTTTAGGCACGTTCATTCAACACCCATCCAATCCTTACGAAGCCAGGATAATTGCCTAGATCAAGAGTGACCGAACACAGTGATATATTTTGGCCGGGTTATGCGAACATCAGTCGAGAATAATTATGTACGTTGTTCATCCTTTCTGTACCATGGCCTGACCTTCATTAATACTGAGCACAACCCTGTAGTGCTTGAAGATGTAAATACAAGGCCGACGACTGTCTTCGATTTACCCGTTGTCGAAGCTCTGAATCTAGTGTCATGATGGTTGATCGCTTTAATGAATACTTTGTTGAACACTTTGTATCTGTAAAGGGATCGATTTGCGACGCTGTCTGTCGTTGTAGAGCGTTCAGCACGGCGATACGTTGAGATGTCAGTAAGGTAAGCACAAAGCTGTTGCTTTAGTCAATAAATATTCGTATTATGGACGAGTCGCAGCTGACTCTCTGCATACCAGGACTTTACTTAACGAGTGTCGCCAAGATGAGACTACACAATATTTTAAAGAAGCTGAGAAGCCAAGATCTGGGCTCCCTAGATTAATCCGAGCTTTAACACTATTTCTGCAAGATATCTATCTTATCTTCGTCCGAGGGTGACGATCACTGTACAGCATCTTCTTAGACAAATCATAATCCGTCCTTTGATGCTGGCAGTGACAACTACATTGCCCAAGACTTTGTAAGAGTTCAATTCTCATTGCTGGAGTTTTGCCCTTTGGTGGATTTGAGGTTACATTGTTGCGGAAATACCTTCGTATCCCCGAAATGAGCGTCGAGAAGCCGCCCCACCGGACCGTCCCGTTGGTGCTTTGCACTACGTACTAAACGCTGATCTATGCTGAGCAATAGTTGAGGAGAGAAACCACCTCCGGCTTGAGGTTCATATGTTCTACAAGTTACCGATGTGTACCTGGGGTTCAGGTACGAGTAACCGGACCTGTACGAATGCTTCGAGCAAAGCAATTGAGACGAACTTGCTTGATCTCAACTCGAATCCAACGTCAATCCCGATAACGGCGGTGTGCCCATCCTCTAATTTTATCAGTCCAGAATGTTACTGGCTCGGTTTATTCTTGGGTTTGTAAGGACGCTAACGGTCAAGGGGCCTTGCCATTTCAATGGGGTTGATGTATGACCCTGTGCCCACATATGTATGATGGCCACTTTTATAATATACTTTTCTGGCCGTCAATTGGCTCGCTCTCAGGAGTGTCTTCGAGCCATTCAGTTGTTGCCTGTTGGTCCCAACGGTGCCACGTTGAAATGTTTATGAACCTGGAGTCAGCCCCAACGACTGCTAGCGGCCCCCAGTTCTCTCCTATCGGGGACCTATCAGAGCCTTGAATCCTCTTCATAGACAACATCGGTTATTGTTTCCAGGGTTTGAAGAGCCCCTGCATAGGATGGTTTCGTGCGTGGAGTCCTTAAGTGGTGGTCACCGCGGCTGGGTGAAGAAGTCTTCAGCAGTGCGAGGCAGCAGGCGTAAAGTCCCCGGAATGCGGCAAGCGGTGGAAGTCATATCCTGTTGAAACTAAATATGAATATTGACAAGAGAAAACTCTGCTGCAATTCTGAACATCTAACTAGCCATCCACTGGCCGCCATTGGCACTGACCAGGCATCCCGTCATCCATCCGCTTTCCGGGGAGCAAATCATGCCAACAATGCCAGCAATTTCCTCAGCATAGCCAGCACGTCCGCCATATTTCTCAGCCATCTCCTTCTGTTCATCCGAGTCCCATTCTCTAATTCCGCACAGCGGCGTAAGGGGGTACCACGATGAAATGGCTTGCTTCGCATCTTCAGAGGCGCCTCGGAGCATGTCCGTCATAGTGGAGCTGGGGTTGCAAGAGTTGACGGTGCAGTGCTCCTTTAGCTCGCGAGCCCATGTGCGCGTCATGGCCTCAAGGGCGCCCTTGCTACCGCCGTACAGGGTTAGGTACTCGAGTCCAACCTTGGAACCGACGCTTGACACATTGACGATGCGGCCCGAGCGGTCAGTAGGCAGAAGGGGCTTGACTGCCTGCGTGAGCAGGATGGGTCCAAGGACGTTGATAGAGTAGACCTTGTGGAAATCCTCAATGCTGACAGCCTCGAGGGGCATGGCGTGGAAGAGAGCAGCGCAGTTGACGAGTATGTCGATCTGCGGCTTGCCTGTCTTGGAGTTGGGTGGCATGTCATTCTTCACAACATCGACAATTTTGGAGCAGCCATCGGGTGTACTGAAGTCGGCACGTACGGGAACGGCCTTAACGTTGTGTGCCTTGGACAATTGCTCGGCGAGAGCAGTGGCAGGTTCGTCAGACGATTCGGTCAGGTAAATGAGAACAACATTGGCGCCCTTGGAGGCGAGGTTCTGAGCAATGGCGGCACCAATACCTTGGGGCTTTTGTCAGCGTGGGTGTTCCAGAAATCCAGGGGGAAGTGGTAAAAAGGCTTACTCCTTGCACCGCCCGTGATGACGGCAGTCTTGCCCTCGTGAACTTTGTACGGAGGGGCCTGAGTAATGGGAATGGTGATTTGTGATTTGGTCATTTTGTCTGACGGAGCGTACAACGTGATGTTTGTGTTAAAGTGAGTTCACGCTGTGTTTGACTTTCGGGCAATTTTCAACCAAATCATATCATGGGGTCTGGGGAGCATGGTTATTAAGGAAAATAGGAGAAAATGTGACAGCAGCAACGTGGTGACTGTCAACCTGTCAGACCGTCTCCTCTCTCGCCATTTCTGGATCTTCAGCAATTGCCCTAGACCAATTCGAGCCTCATAAGCAGGGTCTGTTTCTTAACGAATTCCTCGCCCACTTGCTCCACTGTTAAGATCCAATGAAAGTATTGGTCGAGGTGACATCGAGTCTTCAAGACGGATGATGGGTGATGTGGGACCGAGAAAGAGCGAATGCCGAAGCCATGACCATCGGTCTTATGGTCTACACTCGTGCATGCGTGAGTCCCTAGGCTGTAGCAAAAACAATATCAACCAAGGGATGAATAAGGTAGGTAAGATCAGCAAAATTGATCTATGATGTTGCATTCTGTCTTAGGCGAGTTCAGTGCGAAAGCTACATCATGCCATAAAGTTCATACGCACACGTGCGATAGTCCAACGGCATGGCATATAATGTCCTTGGTTGTCCCACCCAGCGGAGCCGGAAATCCGGCAAACGGGTCAAACATACGTTACCTGGTCATTTCACCAAGAATTGCCTCACGACTCCGTTTTCAGTCGCCTCTTTGGGATCCTACGATGGTGCTGAGTATTACCAAAATCATCCAACCTGCAGAACCCCTGGTTCTGCTCGAAGCGAAAGGCACTCTTCCCTGCCAGTAGGAGCTTTCCCAAGGGTTGCTCAGGGATGGTTCAAGGATTAGAGCGACACCTAGCATCTCGATTAAAAAATAGCTAGGAAGTTTTCTGCCAGTGATCGGCGCGAAATGGGTGACATTGGCTGGTAACGTGCGTTGAAGACCGCTTCCATATAACCCATCTTGTGTGTCCGGCTACCTATTTATCGATGATACGTCTAGCCAGAATCGACTGTCACTCACTCCTGTGGAGTAGGTTGTTCGCCTCCTCGTTTGTCTCTACACATCGGCAACTACACGATTGTTCACTGGTCACTTGTTTTGTTGACTTGCTTTTTCCGGCAAAGCCCGCCCATCGCGTCATAACAACCAAGACCGTGAAACAAAGCCATTCCCAAGTCAACATGGCGACAGAGGACCCGAATCGACGGTTTGTCTACCAGCTCGAGGGTGTTGGCCTCAGTCTGTTTGTGGTCTCTATTGTTGGCGGCGTTATCTCCTTAATTGTGGTATGCTTGAGGACATTCATTCGACTGCGGGCAAAGACGTTTAGCTGGGACGACGGCTTGATGCTCGGTGGTTTGGTAAGCTTAGACTTTTCTGAAGGTCTTCTCGTAGGGTCGTAGGGCATTGATTTATCTGCCTATGAAACACATGCTAACACATGCTTCAAGGTCGTTTACCTCGTCGATGTCGCTCTCGCCTGCATGGGCGCGCTGAGTGGACTGGGCACGCGCAATGCAGACCTCAGCCCAGTAATGTTGGTCGAATCGATGAAGTACCTGATGATCTGGATGATGCTTTATGTGGCAGTATTGTGTACGATCAAAACCTCGATTTGCATCACCACACTACGGATCGCTACCACGATGCCAAAGCTACGCACCGCCGTCTATATCTTGATGGGGCTTACCGTCGCCACATTCTTCACGACCTTCGTCGGAATCCTATTGTTATGCCGACCTGTGGAAGCCAACTGGGACACGAGCATCGTACTAGAAGGCCGTGGCGAGTGCTCGCCAGTAAGCTCAATGCTGGCGCTGTCATATACTTCGACTGTTAGCACCATCGTTACCGATCTCGCCTGTGCCGTCCTCCCGGCCATCATTCTCTGGCAAACACAAATGAAGCTCTCGACAAAGATCATGGTCTCTTTCGTTCTTTCTTTCGGTTCTTTGTAAGCGTTCCGCCTAGCGCCTCTGTCTGAGATGATTCACTAAGCTGATTTCTGCCGCCTCGACTACACAGTGCCTCAGTCTCAACCATGATACGCACTCCATACATCGATCACTACAACCATCCTCTCGACGATCTGGCTTGTATGATACTCCCCTTAGTTTGTCATGTGTAAGCAATTGCTAACTTGAATCGTTCAACAGTCCATATTGCCAACATCCCCCTCTGGTCCAACATTGAGACTGCCATCGGTTTTATCGCCGGCTCCCTCCCAGCTTTGCGACAATTCTTCATGCACCGTCGCTCCCCACGACCTACAACTTTGGGTCAAACAGATGTGTCCCATGGCCTCCACCCGGGGTCAGTCGGGCTCGTCACTATTGGCGGCTCGGGAGTGACGTCCAAGAGCAAGATACGCAAAGGAACAAATTATGAGGACGATGGAGCAGGACAGGGAGACTGGACACGTCTCGATGAAGATAGCGTCTCGGAGAAAGGAAGCACTGCGCCTGTTCGAGGAATTCGCAAGGACATGACCTTCGAGGTATCGTCTCTACCAGGACAAAAAAATGGCCGTGGCAAAGACTAGTCACCCGACGTAAGTAGGTAGAGGAAAGTCCTCCCACATGCAACACCTGGCTGTTATTTGCACCCAGCATTTCGGGTTTGTACATGTGCTCTCGAACGGGAGCTACGGACAATAAATGGGCCAGAGATAACTGGATTGCTGTGTACCAACGGAGTCAGCGCTAAGCTTTGTTTGGCTGTCCCGAAGAACTTAGCGTCGGATAGTCAGACTTGGGCAAGAGATGCAACTTCAACTTCGCTTATCTCGATTGATGAAGCTGACACCTGTCCCCCACATCTACGTCCATACTACCGAGCCGTGAAGGCTTGGGATCATCACTAACAGAACTCTTTCTACTACTCTATTCTACTTCAGACCACGGTCGACTACACATAGATACCCCAACTCATACCTCAGCTATTGAGTTGACACTATCATGTCTCTCCCACCCTTACCTCGCCTAGAGCCAGCCAAATTTCGCTGGTATTCCCTACCAGACGATCCCCTTTCTGTCAGACGCCTTGCTGTCGGCACTGAGGCTTGGGTCGGTTTGCGAGAGCCGAACTCTCGTGGTCAGTACGACAACTATCTAAACACGTCTCTCCGAACCCATGTTCCTGGAATCTCGCTAGAGACAATCGCGTTGCAAATGGCCAAGGCCCTTGTCAACATTCGATTCCAACACCCCGAGGTAGGATGCTCCGTCACTTGGACCACCAACCAAGATCCTCCCTTCATCGTCTATTCTTCGCCGGGCTCCAACGAAGCTGCCTTGGTATGGGCCCGCAGTCTCGTTTCGCCAGTCGCAACGACAAAAAACGGGCTTGAAGTTGCCGACGAACTTTCGAAGGCGCGCCAAGAGAGACCTGAGCCGTTACCCCCAGTCATGGTCCATGTTGTAGCTCAAGTGCCAGAGTTAGGCACTCTGCTTGAGATTGGCGCGCGAGTGGACGTGCTCTGTGCTTTCAATCACATCCACTGGGATAGTATCAGCTCACGCATATTTGTTGGTGACCTGCTGCGCGGCGTTGGTCAACAGTTCAACGCGAGCAACCAGACTCCAGCAAATAATGCTCTCCAGCATCCCTGGGGCAGGGAAATCGCCAATCTCAACAAGCCGGTCCTCGATGCATGCAAAACTGATGTGGATGCATTGGGAGAAGACTATGAAAAAGTACGAGATAACTTCATTGCAGAGTTACTTAATAGTGCGGTGGGTAGTTCAATATTTTCTTGCTGGCTTGAGAAGTGACTGGCCACTGTTGGCCAACAAAGTTTCCATGGTCACTAACTCTTTGAAGACTAGTTGGGGGCTTCCCGTCACCAACACTGTAGGCACGCCTCGGACTCTATGGAGAACCTTCAATACAGATCAAAGCCAGGCCATCGCGAAGGCCATCAAGAGTGGGCTCGGACCCCACTTTACCTTCACTCACCTCGGTCATGCCGCCATGGTCCTCGCATTACTCCGAGTCAGCCCCCTACCATGCGACGCCTCGGACGCCCTGTTTCTTTCCTCGCCGCTGCCAGTCAATGGTAGGCGCTATCTAAGTGGTAGCAATGCAAGCATTCGCTATGGGTCGTGTCAAGCGGGCGCGTCGGTAGAATTTGCACCACTTCTTTCGTACGCCGTAGATGAGGGGGATTCTGAAGCGGTCAAGCTGACACTCACAAGACTGGCTCAACATGTCAAGAACAGCTACGAGCATTGGCTAAAGAATGAGTTTCAGTTGGTCATAGACCAAGCTAAGAGTAACTTTTTAGCGGGGTTTCTGGCATCGTGAGTAATCCCTCCCTCAAGGTATATTCGAGATCTTTCGGTTCTAATTCTCTTCTTCTTAGAGCGCCTTTGTCCTTCTCACCTACAAGCTTTCCGGTACGAAATCCCCAAGTTTCAAATGTTAACAGCCTTGATGAAGGTGCCCCTTCATGCATTGCTAATATGTTTCACAACATGAAGGTCTTCGTCAGCGATGGCATAGTCGACAAGTACATTCCGGAAGTCATTTCCAGCTCGAACGATGAAAAGATGTTCACGGTGGAAAGTTGTCGTTTCCACCTGACAACCTACTCCTCTGATGTGTAAGAAGACCCATCTCTTGATTTCTGTCTTTCTTGATCTTCGTCCATAGATTGTAGCTAGCCCATACTGCCTGTCCCAATCGATGTCACTAACTATTTGGGTTCTAGGCTTGTTCGAATGGACAGTTTCAAGGGCGAGACTGGTCTTTCTGTCTGTTTCAATGATGGACGTCTTGACGAGAACCTCGCAAAGGCTTTTTTGGATGCTACAGTTGATTTCATGACGGCTTTTTCAACCTGAGCAATCCACTGAACTGCGAGACATTTCCGTGGTCTTGAGTAAAGCTGTACTTACCTTAAGTTGCAAAGTCGCGACGTGTCGCGTCTGTTGGAGACGAAGTTGTGCGCTTGGAGATGTGTCTAATAGTAAGGTATTCTTTAGAGGGGTGGTACATTCCGGTGGTCGCTGATTAGAATTATTGCTGTGTTGTTGTTATCAAAAGTAGTCACACAATCTGCATGCTTTCTCACTCGAAAGAGTTAACCGACTTTAGGTCAGTGTGAAATGGAAACCAATGCTGGCCAGTCACATCTCATTCAATCACGTAAGCAACGCCTTTCAAATGTCAATGCCAGTATCGACTGGACTGATGCATTGCAACAAGCCCGAGCAGATTCAAAGGATTTGTAGATACAATCTGGCCGGGCAAACATGGAGGTGCCATTGCCCACCCACGATGGATTCACAGCACGTGGAGCGGAGTTAGTCCGCCAAGATTGGCTCACTATTAGTACACCACACCCTCACCTTTGGCTAGCAAACATAAGATTGGACCAGAACGGTTCGTCAGACGTCTTCCGAGTGCGTTCGTATTGTACATGTTGAATATAGCCTGTCATCTCGTCTCACGTCTGGTTGATGGATGACATGTTTTGGTGGACAAAAGTGGCAGACGGCAACATAAATCTCCGGAAAAGGCACCTCAAAGTCCCGGAGACCCTTGTTTTTCGGCGTTGCCTCGGTCATTCTTACCCCGGATTTTGAGATCGGAATCCCTACCCGCCCGGACAGCAACCCCGCACGCGATGTTTAGGTTCTTTGTGGGTGGGCAGCAATCTATGAACCGACCCCAACGAGAAACCGTGGACCATGATTCGGTGGCCTGATGTCTCGCCATCTTTATTGGAGTCGATGGACTGGAATACGTGTGGGCTTTTCTCTCCGCCGCGGAGACCTAAGAGCCAGGGAGCTGGCGCAACATCTAGGCAGTATTTTAACATCGTGATTCCCAGGCTTAGAACGACTGGATCTGGGCTTATCTCGTTGTTCAAGCGCAATTTGGCCTGCCATCCATCCAATCGCAACCATGGCCATCATTGGAGCCAAAGAACATCATGTCGACCCCCAGCTATCGCAAATTGCGCAGAATGACAAGACGATCTGGTACAAGAAGCCTAACCTGCGGTTCCTCTATCTCATTCTCATCCCAACCGGGCTTGGAGTCGAGTGGACCTCGGGCTTCGATTCTTCCATGATGAATAGTCTTCAAGCGGTTTCGTCTTGGTTTGAATGTGAGAAAGCCCCACCCTGGAATTCGTTACCCTCCGCGACAACTCAATACTAACATCTCTGAAATCAGACTTTGGCCGTCCCAATTCTTCAAGACTTGGCCTTCTCAGTGCAATCTACTCTCTCGGCGCTCTGATGGCCATCCCATTCGTCCCTTACTTCAGTCAGCGTCTTGGTCGTCGACGAACTATCCTGATGGGATCATGGATCATGGTTCTGGGTGCTGGGCTCCAAGCTGGATCCAGGAATGTCGATATGTTCTTGGCCTCGCGATGGATTTTAGGATTTGGTATCCCCTTTGCCATCATTAACGCCTCCTCACTCATCGGCGAGCTTTCCTATGCCAAGGAGCGCCCAATTATGACTAGGTTAGCTCGAGTCACTCCTCATCATCATGAAGTGGTAGTTGCTGACTTGCTCACTATGGAGTTTGTTCAACGCCAGCTGGTTTGTTGGTATGGAATTAAGCCTCACCATATGAGAACCCAGGCCGAGAACGTTGCTAATCCACAATCGTGAACAGGAGCCATCGTAGCAGCAGGCATCACATTCGGTACTTTCCAAATGAGCACGACCTGGGCTTGGAGAATTCCTAGTTTACTTCAACTCGTGCCCAGCGGCTGTCAAATTGTCTTCATGCCTTTCTGCCCGGAATCGCCCCGCTGGCTGATATCTAAAGACCGTGGCGACGAGGCATTCGCAATTCTCAGCAAGTACCACAGTGAAGGAGAGAACGGCGATGAGTTTGTCCGTCTCGAGTACGCTCAGATCATGTCCACTATCCAGCAAGAGAAAGAGGTCGCCAGTAAATTCCTCTGGGCCGATGTTTTCCGCGATGCTGCCATGCGACGTCGATTCATGTTGGCTGGAATTATGGGCTTCTTTACACAATGGTCTGGTAACGGATTGATTTCTTTCTACATGAAAAAGATTCTCAACCTTGTCGGTATCACGGACAACCACACTGTGCAAAAGTTCATTCTGGGCAATACGTGCTGGGGTAAGTCGTCCTGTTCCCGGCGAAATTCGGCGTTTCTGCTAACGGCATGGTAAGGTTTCATCAACGCCGTTCCTATCGCATTAATAGCCCCGCGCTTTGCGAGAAGAAAAATGTTTCTCACGTGTACCATCGGCACCGCGTGTGTTTACACCGTCTGGACCGTTGCATCAGCCAGGTTCGCCATCGAGCAATCCCAAAGAGCTGCTATCCCAGTTCTAGTCTTCATCTTCGTTTACTCGCCGTGAGTTAATTGCGTTTAAACTGTATTCTGCTTAGAAAGAGACTTGCTGATTCTTTCGTCACAGATTCTACAATATTGGCTGGAATGCTCTTGCGTAAATAGCCCCTGGCCCTTTCTTTTTCTTCGATCTCATAGGATGAACGCAAATATCAAGCCGCTAACCCCACGTAGCTACACCTATCTCGTGGAGCTTTTCCCATTCAGCCAAAGGTAACGCTCTACTGTCCTCTTCATTCAGGATTTGCACCATTCTTTCGATCCTTCCAAGCTTTGAAACTAACATCACGTTTAGAGCAAAGGGAATCGCCGTCGAGCAACTTACCGTCCGCTTTGCCGTTTTCTTCAATACCTACGTCAACCCAATCGCGCTCGACTCTATCGGATGGAAGTACTATATTGTCTACTGTGTGTGGATTTTGGTAGAGATTTTGACGGTTTACATGATTTTCCCCGAGACTCAAGGCCGCACCCTTGAAGAGCTCAGTTTCATGTTCGAGGGCAAAGATGTGCAGGACAAAGTTCAGAAAAACGCTCAGAAGGTGCTCCAAGTCGAGCTTGAGGATATTCACGAGCGACCCGCCTCGCGTGAATCACGGGATGTGGCTGGAAACACGAAGGTGTGATGAGTTTGGTCCGCAATGACAACTTCTTGGAGGATAAGGCATCTTAGGTCTCTTGCGTTCTCACCAAAATGACGTCGTACGGTTACTTAATACTAGCACAATGATTAACCCGCAAGCTGTGACTCGTGAAGTGTAGCCTTCAAGCTAAGTAGCATTGCGTGACCGCCAGACTTGGGGAACTGCAGATGCCTAAGCGAAATGAACAGTCGGGAAACTCCGTCCCACATTAGCTGTTTGCTCGAGGTGACGTCAGGTTTCTGTGTGAGGTTATCTTCAGCCCTGCGGCGATCCGCGGAGACGGGCCGGAAGGGAGACCCGCCTTTACGGCAACCAGCTCCGCTCGGAGGTTTCTCCGGCGAGGCATCAAGCTGCAGTCGGGTCTGTATACACTTCCTAATAGACAAATAGAAAATACGTGACCTTGAGTCAAGATAGCGTGGATAGCTACTCAAGCCCTGACGTGCTAGCCTGGAGGACAAAATGCATCATATGATGATACAAGCAAACCAGCCAAGATCTGGTGGGCCCATGTCTCTCAAAACAGGAAATGAAGGACGAAAGATCGCCAATCGGCTCTGATAGCTCTCATAGCACCCAAAAACTGAAGCAGGAAGTGGATCCGATTCGTCGGACCAAGAAGCTCATTACGAGGGAGTCCCATCCTCAGTGACCAAGGAGTGGAAGCTATTGCTGGCCAAGCGACGGCGATTTCAGCTAATTCTGCACACTTTTCGTTTGCGTAATCGGCTGTCATGTTTCACAACGAAGCAACGATCGACATATCACGCCTGCAACTTGATTTATCTGTCAAACAGGGACACGGTGAGCCAAGTACATCTAATTTCCATGTTCGTCAGCCACGTCATCAGGGTTAGGTCTTGTGGCTTCCAGTGCTATTGCGTGGCTTATCCAGGATCTTGCGCGGCACAGCTGCCCTGTGCTTAAACCTGTTGGCGAACCAGCAATTTGGATCACTTGCTAGCACTGTTCTTCTTTCGGATCCTGGTTGACGTGCACCTGGTCTGTTTTGTCGAGGCGCGGCTAGTTGCAAAGTTCCTATCAACAAGCAAGACATCACACCCGTTCTTAAGATTGACAGGTTTCAGGATCCGAAATGACGGCAGCGAGACGTCAGTCCTAACAAGAGGATGGCTAAGGTAATGGGTGAAGTATCTGTTCAACATGCGGTTTCTCTGTTCCAGATTCCTACTAAGTAATAACCTTTATCCCTGTTTGTCCAGTCCTCATCTAGCGGCTGTAAGGACCCGCAGGCCCATGCCGTTGGGACCGACGTCGCATTTTAAAATGCGATGTCGGCCAGAAGCAAGGACTGTTGAAGCTTCCAAACCCTCTCTTGAACCCCTATACACATCTCTACACCCGGAAGCAAAATTTAACGGAAGCTGTGGCTAAATTAAATTTGCCTTCATTGCGCATATCAGGTTCAAATATCGCTAGACCGTATCACATACCTGGCCAACTATGTCACTAGTTGGCAGAACCATCGATGGGGGCTTGCGCCTTCGGGTGGGAAAAAGTGTTATCAACTCGGCTTCACATGGAGCAATCAAATTACCGTCACCACTTTTTTGCGCTTCGTTCCACAACACATCGCGATTGAGCAATGCACAGCCAGTCAACATCGATCCTACGAAAAGCTCTGTCGTCGACACACGCCCACACATGAAACACAATTATGGCCGCAGTCAATTCGCCGACTTTAACCTCAAAGGAAGAGCTTTCATCGTTACCGGAGGAGCTCAAGGCCTGGGCTTGAGCCTGGCAGAAGCGCTTTGTGAAGCAGGAGGCAGAGGTCAGTGTTCATACCGGATTGATCACCGGGGCTTATTATGTGCTAATGGAATACCAGTTTACTGCCTAGACCGGCAAGAAAAACCTCATGAAGATTACGCGGAGGCGTTGGCTCGTGTGGTCCCAGAATGGGGAGGTTCCCTTCAGTACAGACAGGCAGACGTGGTTGACACGAAGGCACTAGACGACATCATCTCTGGAGTAGCAGACGAAAACCAGGGGCTTCATGGGCTCGTCGCTGCAGCTGGCATCCAGCAGATAACACCGTCCACAGAGTACACCGCAGAAGATGTTGAGAAGATGCTCGCAGTAAATTACACCGGCGTATTCATGAGCGCGACCTCAGTGGCACGACAAATGATCAAGTACAAGTCTCGCGGCAGTATTTGCATGATTGCCAGCATGTCCGGGCTCATTGCAAATCACGGCCTACTTTCACCTGTCTACAACTCCTCCAAGGCTGCCTTGATTCAACTAGCGCGCAACCTGGCCATGGAATGGAGTCCCATCACAAAGGAAGGGATTGGCGGCATTCGCGTCAACTGCATCAGCCCAGGACACATCATGACACCAATGGTACGGAAGAATTTCGAAGAAGGTCCAGGTCTGAAGGAGGAATGGGAAAGCTTGAACATGTTTGGTCGCCTCGCAGATACAACGGAGTTCAAGGGCGCAGCACTCTTTCTTATGAGTAACGCCAGCTCGTTCATGACGGGTAGCAATATGATTATTGATGGTGGGCACACTGCATGGTAGAAACACAAGAGCCACACGTCATCGGACAAATGTCAGAAATGAATAGAATTGAGCTGCACAGTCTCATGTCAAGTGAAACAAACAGTACTAAACTTCGCCTTGTCCGTGCCAATTCAGTGATGCAGTGTTTCACTTTGACCCAAGACGGAAGCGCCGGAAACCCTTTACGAATGAGCCTATATAGGCTGTCTTGTTAAACACGAGGTCACCCAAAGAACCATTACGGGGCTCGTCTACCCTGTCTGGGGCTGTATGCTTTTGTGGTTGAATTCTCCTAAACCTGATATCTCTTCGCCACCCATTCCGGTCTTATGGTGGTTAATCTTGGCGGCTACTATTGATCTTGCTCAGACAACAGAGACTGTCTGGCAACGTGGGGTGAAGTCGCTGGTCATCAATTCTCCATACATGATCCCGTGGACATATGCCTCTCCAACTAAGACGTACTTTTCGCCATTCGTATTTGTACTATTGTCGTCGTGGCTCGTATCGACTGGGATTTTCCTCAGCAATAGCGGCATACGACAACCGCGGATAAGCCAAACTTCATCATCGACCTCAGAAGCCGCTGATCCAAGCCCAAGGTAGCCCTTTTCTGTCTCCAACAACCGTCTCCCAGAAGCAATAAAATGAACCAACTTTGATAGGGGATCTTCAATCAAGCTTTCAGACAAAGAGTCTTCGGGAATGGCCGCGTCAGAGTGTTGAGTGGATGTCTCTATCGGCATAACCATGCTTGAATCTTCCTTGTCCCTATCTCCCAAGCTCATGTCATCACTGTAGGTTATGCACCTCTGTGCCCATTCTCTTCGACTCTCTTGAGAGTCTTTGAGTAATTTGACGTCTGCAATCAGCGTCGACACGGCCACATCCATGAAACTCTCTCCTGTTGATTCATAAACACTCTGCCGACTTCTCATACGGCGTAGCCATGTTGCGTTGGTGAAAACATTCTGCCTGTCAAACTTTGAAGTTTGGATCTGTGAAACCCTGTCGATTAGAATCCCCTCCAGTATGAGAGTGGTGAGACCATGACTGCGGGCCACGTGGCTGCTCGCTCCATCTGCAGTGCTGGTGGCATCGAACGTTCTCGGGAAATCCGACCCTCGTGCCAGCTGCCTCAATCTTTGTAGAGAAGTATAATGTTCAGGTCCATGGGATGAGAAGTCTGGAACCCACGACGGCAGATTTGGTAGGCGGCCGTCAGTTAGGCCTGCTAGTCCCAAAATGTCGAGATTGGACAAATGCTTGATCAACCAAGTCGTCACCTGTGTATAAACGACTTCGACGGAGACGTCATAGCTGGGGTCCACCTCAACCTGATAATTACGGCCCAGAATACGTTGTATGACTCCCAGCGCGCCATAAATGTGGTCCAGCGGGTTTTCAAAGTTGTAAATTCTCAGCCGGTGGAGAGTTTGCAGTACTTCAGCATGGCGCATAGCTTCGTCCGTGGTAGCCCCCCAGCGCTGCTTCTGCCAATGGGCCATCCCGTTGCTAACCTTCTCGCGTCTGAATGCCGAAAGGGAAGACTTCGTCGAGTTCCAAAGACGATCTATGGTGCCGGGGCGTTTGTTCCAATCTGGGAGGAGTTCGCCTAGTCTGCGAATGAGCTTCTCATCCCAACGAACCCGAAGAATGAAGGCAGACAGTTTGTTGATGTCGGACCAGGCGAATTGTACCCTGCCGCACTGAAGCACAATATCCTCAGAATGAGGGATCGCTGCTTCCTGAACAACCCATCCACGCGTGAGCCATCGCTTCTTGAGGCAGAAGTTAAAGTACACTGGATATGACTTGCGCCACTCATCGCAGAAATCCTCGCCAAGCAACTGTATGATCCCGGGGTGATCCAATTCCGGTCCAAATTGTTGTAGGACGTCAGCGTTGCTTGCGACGCGGGCCACTTCCAATATCTTCGGTATGAAGCACCTGACAACCCAGTAGACTTCATACGGTGGCTCAGTTGTGCCAAGCCAGACGATGACACTTCTTGCTGCCTCGTAAATTTGACCCATAAGCTGGACTTGGTGGCATCTTTCTTGGCTCTCTTGTTGGTCTATACAAATAGCATCAACCCAAAGATTAAAGCCATTTTTAGGGTAGATCAAACGAGCCGAATGATTAGCTTTACGGGATTGGCGTCCGAGCTCTGATGTTTCTGCGAAGAAAGCAATGTCATTCTTGAACTGCCGCAGAAAGTCGAAGAGATTTTGGCCAACTCGGAGTCGCCCACCGTCGCATACTAAATGAGTAAACTGCGTCTTTGTTTTCTCTGAAGCATTTGACCCCTCATCAAACTCCGAAGGCCCCCATGTGTATGAAAGTGCCCAAAATGGGGGTGCATCATCAAGCTCGTACGTCTCAAGTCGTGCCAAGAAGCCTTGTGCGCAAGAACTATCCTGAAAGATCTGCAGAAGGCGAATGGAACTCTCTGAAGGTAACGCAGAGTACCGGTAGGGAGACAGCCCTTGGATTTCTCTCACTGCTTCTGCTTCCATCGCCATTGTTGTTCAAGGTCGTAAGGGCGGGGTAAAGGAAAGGGCCAACCGTCGTTGCGTCAGAATCTGACGAGAAGGAGATAGGCATTTGATTGGTTAACGGCTCTCCACATGGTTCTTTGAGGGTCAATCCGCGTTGAGAATAGCGCACAGCCAGATGGCTGGAGCGCTAGAGTATGTCATGTTTGTCAAAATGATCATCGATGTGTTCTTCAGCAGACTCCCCGATGACCTAAAAGACATGGACTTTCGATGCATTTACCCCAAACTAGGATTGTTTCTTAGAGTAGAAAGGCAGAGTGGAATGCTGGAGGGAACCCATCTAACATTGCACCCTTGCAGAAGAATATCGTGTCTTCGACGCCTGTCAGCCCATGGCGCGATACCTTCGGCGGTCCTTCGGTGACAGATCGTAAAAGGTCTCAGCCGCAGGGCTGAAAATAATTGAATCTTGACGGTACGGAAACTTTGCCACTTAATTCTGAGTCTCCTAGGCCGAGTCATGGGGCTGGAGGCCATAACTATACAGGGCTGAGACCATGGCTTCGGTCATGCATGAGAGTGGGATGCGAGGAACGTGAGAACCTCAAGTAAGCAGAGAATTGCGTTCTGCTTCTAGATTTCCAAGACATCTCCATTCTGACACTCAGCCACTCGGGCCAAACCCATGGTCTATGACACGTAAAGTGAGGGCCCTAAGTAGCGGGATGCCGGATTTAATTGCCAAGAAGCGTCTTCGCTGGATTTATAGTGGCTGGAGTTCTGAATTTTCGCAGACAACGCCCTTAGCATTCCTGCGGTAACTGTGGCACCAGGGGATAACACGTTCGAAGAGAACATGTGTACATCAAGGTACTTCTTGCCGAAGAGACATGGATGCAGGACTTCTATGAGATGATACCCCCAGCTGCCATACCTTCCAGAGTCAATAGCATCGGCTGAGACTGGTCTCTAACCCCCATATTCCTCTTATCCGAGGCTCAGTCACATACATGTCTGCTATAGTTCCATGTTGTCGAAGCAGATTGGCTGCTTCTAGATCTTTGATGTCAGCTACAGTATTCACGCGTGTGCTATCCCGCCCAGGGCCGAGGATTAACACTGTCTCTGTCTGCTTCCTGATGGGTAACCCAATACATATTGATTCATTCAAGCCTAATTATCCCTTCGTTTTTATGATGCAAATCCTTCAGGGATAGCTCCGAAGCCACTCGTCAAACCCCGTCGGGTTGAGATTAGACCAAGTTATCCTCGTGCAAAACTAAGCGGTAACTACACGTGCTTAGTATGATACGTATTTGAAATAGGGTGTGACAAATGATGAGAGACCCAAATATTCAAGGAGGCGAGCGAAGAACACGGCATTCCGCGGTATTCGGAACCCTGAGGGCTTATGCCATACCGCGACTTCGCCTCGATGCCTCACGGTTTTAGGTGCAGAAAGGCGAAGTACAACGCGGTCAAATCTGTCTGATTTACAGAAAACTCCGGTTAGAGGACGACTGCTTGAACTAAGAGTTTCTGACTCGTTGGAATTGCATCCACCATCAGACATCGAGGCACGTGGTTCGCATCGTCTCCTCACGACTATTAGGCCTAGTATTACCCAGTGCCAGTACCTCGGGTCCCGGGCCGGGAGCATCCATTACGCCTCCTCGACCCCGTGGGGTCCAAACATAGAATCATACGTCCTTCAACGTTCTTTCCTAATAACGATCTCCTTCGTATCTCAATACAGCCTTGCCCACCCGCCACAGCCCACCGGACTCCCACTTTGGTCGGGGTCAGGCTGCTTTTCGGGAAGTTAGTGAGACATGCTCCTTACGGACCGTCTGACTACCTCAGACCCCAGCAGTAGATTCGGTCCTTTTTCTTATATCGTCATGTGGCTGGGCGTACTGTTCCCCAGGCTCTGCCGTAAGACCCTTTATACGTGCTGCTAATTTCCATTGGCTTACTGCCAGACTCTCGATGGTTTCTCGGCCCCAGAAATGACGATTTCACCATGCTTGTGTCTGAGATGTAAAATACCGCGACCAGGAAATTCCGAACGTGAACGCTCGCCCCTTCATTCACGAAATTGTGTCGAGAGGTCGAATTTCAAGACTCCAACAATTTTAAACTGATGTGGCTGGATTGCTACGAGCGACGATGATGCCAAGACAGTTTCAGCATCTACATCTCCAGCAATAGGTCTTCCCATCCATTTTGCAAATTATCCAAGACATACAGTAGCTTAGTTTCCAAGCATACTGTCTCACGAGAGGAGCGTTTGCTCTCTACCTAGAGTACAAGCAGATAAGGCACGCCGTCAGTGTGGAGGCAGCTTAGCATGCCGTGTCCCGGCTAAATATTTTCGGAGGTCGAAAACCTTCACTGTGAATTTGGTTTCAACACCCTAAAGACGGCCACCGATAGGACGGTGGGTCAATTGAATGCCTGGCTAAATTGTACTTCTCAAGAAAAAGGTTTTGACATCCCCAAGGGGGGTCTATCACTTGAGCTTAACTCAACATGCAGTAAAAGAAGGGTTTGTATATATAATCAGTGGTTTTGACCTATCCGGGTTCGATCTACATCAGCTCATAATCCTTCAGACGTTCAATCCTGCAGCAACTCTATACCTACAAGTTCCTCTACCTGTGGAAGCCTCCATAATGTCTCCGGCATATGCGGTCGAACTCCATAATGATCACAATCAGCCAGGAGATCATATCGCAGTATGGGCTTTTCCTAAGTTGTGTCTTGATGGCCTAGCTGGCGATAAGCAAGATTCGCTGGGAGTTAAGGTGGACGTTTGGCTTGTCGCTTTTCAAGGGAATCGCAGACTTACTATCAAGATGAAGAACGATTTCGATCAGACTTGTTTGTTGCACTTGGAAGATTGTCAGTGGTTTGACATTTACTAAAAACGGATTCTGTCCAACAGATGGCGTGGAGTTCTCATCTCCTTCCTCTCCGAAGCTAGATGTTTTACATCTCCAGACCGCGCATTTTCCCGGAGGTAAAAACCAAGGCAGCCACCCGATTGCTGGATCTATGGTCAATATTTACGAACTTTTACTAAACTGAACCTACGAACAGACCTGGTCGACGGCTCATCTATGATGGACCAATCGTCCACGATGGCCCATGCTGGGTCTTATGGAATCGACAGTGGCGGAATTGGCGGAAGCTACCACTCGTCTCTTACTCCGCAATTCCTCATCGGCATCTTCAACCATGTAATCGATGAGGAGTTGAATCTCGAGAACATTGCGAGAGAAACCAGAGCCTGCAAGATTGACTTTGGATTCTATGCATCGGCCAGCGATTCTACGGCTAGCATCTATGTCGACGTTGATGGGAAACCTACAGCGACGTACAACACCACCCAGGTTGACATTGCAGGATGGCATGCTGCCCAAAAACGACGGCCACAAAGTCATACAATGGCCGAAGTAAACACTGCAGCTGAGAGTTCACACGGGCTGCAATCTCTGATGTGAGTGCTTATTGATCTCTATTGACAAGAACAGTAGTTCGCTAACCGCAAGTATTAGTGACAAGCTACCTGGAATCGCAAAGTCTATCGACTGGGATGCTCCGGCGGACAACGGAAGAGCCACGGTAGCTGAATGGGTTGGCTCTGTGAAGTGGCCATTTCCCGCCACATCCCCTAACACCGTCGCCGGTATTGCCGGTATTGCCAGTCATTTGATTGCCCGAGGCTACTCCGTGAGCTACGAAGCTTGCGGGAACGCTATTTGCGACGGCTGTGGCACAATCATCATGTTCTCTTTTGGCTTGATTGGCAAAAGAGGCTCCGATGGATTGGATGCCTCCAAAGACTGGGCGAGCGCCGTTGGAACACTTGACCAGGAGCGTGCGTCTAGTCTGGTGAATATGGGCTTGCTTCGACGAAACTCTGGAGGCATTGAGTCTTGCGTGTCAATGAGACGGTTGTCTTTGGGAGAGTTTAGAGACGCCCTGAATGCTGATGTTGATGCTAGCACAAGGATTAGTAGCAGATCTACTGTGCTTTAAGTTACAGTATTGTTGAAGAGTGGGCCGCTTGGAAATAGTCAGTAATAAACGGCCAATCAGTCTTTGGAGTTTTTGACAACTGGATCGTTTGGCATCGTTTCGACATTTGCTTAGCCTTCGACATTTTGCATGCATCTGCCTCCCCGATCCTCACATACTGCCTACGCAGTAGATAGATAAACCGCTCCTGCCGGTGTGTCTCCCAATCAGTTTCTATTACCGATGCAGCCCACTTCTATGCTAAGCTGGGTAAGTGCCGAGCCTGGGCTGACCAAGGGTGCCCTGGCCAAGAAATTACCCTAAACGGCCATACCTCAACTTAAGGTTCAAACTCATCATGAATCATCCTATATCGACAGCAGCGAATCCACTAATAATTGAGATTCTCACCAGTACTTTGTCTGAGGTATCGAGGGAACTGTTGAGTTTGATACCGGCGCAGATATTGAACTACAAAAGAGCTTTACAGCGATGCTTCAAGAAGTAGCAAGACAATTGATAAGACAGTTCATCTTCCACTCTTTGCGCACAACATCTCGGCCTACCATGAAGGCCTTTCGTTTCCTCGGCCCCGACAAAGGCCTTGTCCTCCAGGACGTTCCCATTCCGTCCCCGAGCCCCGCACAGGCCCTCATCCGCGTCAAAGCCGCCGGGTTGTGCCACTCCGACACCCACGTCCTCCACGGCGGCGGCGCAGCGTGGATGTGCGCGCTGCCCGTAACGTTAGGCCACGAGGTCTCTGGCATCGTTACGGAGCTAGGCGACTCTTCAAATACATCATTCAAAGTCGGTGATCGGGTAGCTGTCGCCTGTGTGGGCCACCCGATCCAAGAGAGAAACTTTCAGGAAGCTCTGGGTGTAGGCTGCGACGGCGGATACGCTGAATATGCTCTCGCTCCCGTTAAGAATCTCATCAAGATTCCGGAGCAGGTTGGGTTTGCCGAGGCTGCTGTGGCTACCGATTCCGTTGCCACTGCCTACCACGCCGTCGTCGCCGAGGGCCGGGTGTCCAAGTCGCACATGGTTGCTGTCATTGGTCTAGGCGGTTTGGGGCTGAACGGACTGGCGATTGCCGCACACCGCGGTGCTAGAGTGTTTGGCGTCGATATCAACACAGACAAGTTTGAACAGGCCAATGAATTCGGCGCCGTCAACTGTGCCAGAGATTTGAGAATATTCTCAGAGGAGACGTTCGATGTAATCTTGGACTTTGCAGGAGCTCAGAAGACGGTTGAGGCTGCGATATCCTCGGTGAGACCTGGCGGATGCGTGGTGTTAGTGGGGCTTGCGGCCCAGAGCGTGCAAATCACGACCACAGCGATTGTCACGCAGAATGTCTCGCTCAAAGGCTCGACGAGCGCTAGCATTCAGGAGTTTAGAGAAGTGTTGGACTTGATCGCATCAGGATCCATAAAACCATCCACGAAGGAGATTCTATTCGAGGATATCGAGAAGGGACTTGAGTTATTGGGTAATGGAAATGTCAACGGACGTCTGTACACTGTTCCTTAAAGCGACAACAAGTTCGAAGGGACAAGCATCCTGATAGTAGCGAATGGAGGTACAAAACTTGTATGATTTAGAGAAAGTTCATATAAAAGCCACTACCGGTCAATATCACACCCCCCCCCCCCCCCGCCCCCTTATGCCTTAATCGGCTCTCGGTTCGGCATCGCAGCGCACAATAAAGCTTTACGTTGCAGAAGCGCAGATCTACAGGCATTACGGGCGCCGTCAATTCCAGGTACTCATGTGATGCCGCCTCCGGTTCCGGAGGGTCATTTCGGGGAATCGGAGTGGGCCCGAGGATGGCGGATTAGATAACCGGGAGTATTTGAGTCATGAAGACCGAAGCAATGCGGAGCGATCTGTCAATATCTCAGTCCCTGGGTACAGATCACGGGTAAGGCAGCAGCGCACTCCGCGCAGTAGATTCAAGTCATCGCCCTGGCACATCAAGGGCAAAAACCGACGATGGCATCGTGCGATGCCAGGGGCAATGCGGCGTTCTGTCCGTCGCGACTTGGTCTGTTGGTGTAACCTGGGTTGGCTCCTCACTCGACGTCACTTGATCATGCCACAAAAAGCAATGATAATCCGATTTCCAGCCGCTCACTGCGCTCAGTCCCTCTCATGGCGGATCAACCGTTGGGCGAAAAACATGCAAGTCTCCACCCCCAATGTAAGCTTTCTGCAGGCTTCGGCGACAAACCGGCCAACGCCCCGAGCTTTCTTTGCAGTCGTTCGCTATGTTGCCTGCCGGAAATCGGTTTAGAGGGCGCCGGACGGGTACGGAGCCGCCCTTGGAGGGTATTATGGTGCAAAGGCGCTGGTAGGATGTTGGAATGATGTCACCTACCGGGTTTTATTGTTCCCGTAGAGTCGATGGGATACGTGCGGTTCAAAACGTGGGGTGTGGGGAGAGGAAACTTGGAGGATGGATAGGTGGGGGGTAAAGACGATGCAATGGACCCTCGGGACTAAGAATCTAGATTTAAATCTTACATAAGTACTACCTCTATGACCTCGCCGAAACTCAACGTCCTTTTCGGGCTTTTCCTGCTGATCTCTTCTCCAGACGTTACAGCAGCGTGCTTGTGCAGCTTTTAGAGAAGAAAAAGGGCAGTAGACCAAAATGTCAAGTCCAACAGGCATCCTTGCGAAGTATAGTGCCGCCAATAGGCTCTACAAGAGCTCGCTGCTCAATGCAGTCTGTTTCGTAGCCTCTTTGAGCGTGTTCTTCTTCGGCTATGACCAAGGTGGGTGAAAATCCTTATTACCAATTGACAGAAGCAAGTTTGATAACGTGTGCTATAGGTTTAATGGGCGGCGTGAACACAGCACGAAATTATGCGGAATTGATGGGCTTTGGTCACTGGGACGAGCAGCAAAAAATTGTCGTTGTTGATAAGCCATTGTTGCAAGGGGGCATCGTAAGTAATATCTTATCTGGTAAACTGCTTCGAATCCCCCCTGATCTCACAACGTCTTAGGTAGCAGTTTACTACCTCCCCGGAACGCTCGTGGGATGCTTAATTGGAGGCTGGTTCGGAGATAGATATGGCCGCCTCAAGACCATTGCCGTTGCATGCATCTGGTCCATCTGCACCGCGGCTCTTCAAACCGCTGCCCAGAATGCGGATTGGATGTTTTGTGGTACGTGGGCACAGCCACCAACATGAACCCTTCATTGTGATGCTAGGAAGCTGACCTCAACATGAATCAAAGCGCGAGTCTTGAACGGCATTGGTACCGGCATGTTGAATGCCATCACTCCAGTGTGGGCAACAGAAGTAGCTTCTCACACATCTAGAGGCAAGTTCGTTGCCATAGAATTCACTCTCAACATCTTTGGCGTTGTTGTTGCCTATTGGCTACAATTGTAAGTTTGCTACACCAAGTCAATGATGTTGGTACCTAACCCGGTGATAGCGGCACGTCAAAGTACAAGGACCCCAATTCGTCCTTCATTTGGAGATTCCCCATCGCCTTCCAAATCATACCTCTCATCGCCTTGTTCATCATGATCTGGTTCATGCCAGAGTCCCCACGGTGGCTCGTAAAAGTAGGCCGAGAAGAGGAAGCCAGGTTCATCCTGGGCAGACTGCGTGGAAACGAGGGTGAGGACGCAAAGGCTGCAGAGGCAGAGCTGCAGGAAATCATCAGCATCAGAAATCTGGAGCACGACACCGCCAAGCAGCAGAGTTACTTTGCCATGTTCTTCGGGATAGGCTCAGGGAAACTGCACACCGGCCGCCGTGTTCAACTTGTCATCTGGCTTCAGATCCTGCAGGAGTGGGTAGGCATTGCTGGAATCACGATCTACGGTCCCACGATCTTTTCGATTGCTGGAATCAGTTCGGAGCAGCGCCTTTGGGTCAGTGGTGTGAATAACATCACCTACATGGTAAGCAGAAGAATTTTCCCTCTTCGCATGTTGTGGATGGGAGGAAGCTGATTTCGTCTAGTTTGCGACCTTGATTTGCGTGTTTACCATAGACCGCATCGGTCGACGGTGGACACTGTATTGGGGTGCCGTTGCGCAAGGGATATGCATGTTCTGTGCGGGAGGCTTGGCAAGAGCAACTCTCAATGCTAGTCCCGGCAACCGTTCTGGGCTAGGCGGCGCCGCTACCTTCTTCGTCTTCCTATATACCGCAGTCTTCGGTGCGACTTGGTTGACGGTCCCTTGGCTATATCCCGCGGAGATCTTCCCTCTCCAAGTGCGTGCCAAGGGCAATGCTTGGGGAGTCGTTGGATGGTCGATAGGAAATGGATGGACGGTGAGTGCATGGCAGGGACCCCTCCTTGTCATCTTGACTCAAATGCTAAGACCATCGACAGGTGCTTCTTCTCCCTACAATCTTCGAGAAGCTCAATGAAAAGACATTATACCTTTTTGGTGCTGTCAACTTCGTATCCTTAGTTGTTGTCTGGGCACTTTACCCCGAGTCGAACCAAAGGACTTTGGAGGAGATGGATCTTGTCTTTGCCAGCGACAGCATCTGGGCGTGGGAGGCCGAGAAGGAGTTTGCTAAACTCAAGGCCGAGAATCCTTCTCTTGTTCACTCGGCACACATGGGTCATGGTGTTGTCGACCCCGAAACGGGTGTGACTCCAAGCAAGGTGGACAATACTCATAAAGAGTAGGCGGCGTTGCTTGAATATGTGCTCATTCTCAGATCTCAATTCGAGGAGGACGAGCGTTGTTGCAGCCCTGCTCTGTGGAAGAGCTTTGACATTGATCCCCGAGTATTTCAGATATCTAGGCTCATATCACCACCAGCGGCAGACTGTTTACTATGAAACGAGATATCTCATATCAATCTCAGATTATAGAACTTGAGACCCGCTTGATAGCAATGACAGGTTATGATCATTTTACTTAAAATATCTTTTTCTCGGCTCCAGGCTCTAACCAGCGCACCTGGTCAGAAATGCCTTCCTGTTCACAGACCGCCCTCAGCTGGTCCCCATTTTCCGAAAAGTTTGCCCATGATTCGTAATGCATCGGTACCAGAACATCCGCTCCAATATCGCGGAACAGCTTTGCAGCCTGTTTGCCGTCCATGGTGACTAGCAGAGGTGGATTTGATGTCGCAACCTCTACCGCGCCAACGTTGAGAATCGCAACGGAGACGTGGTACTGCTCCAATACTTTGGGGATCTCCTCGAGGTAGATTGTGTCACCAGAGATGTAAATGATGTTGGGCAAGCCGTTTGTTTCCCCACACGTTGCTGTCCTCAGCACAAATCCAGTCACTTCACCTCCGGGAAGATGCTGACACGGTACTCCAGTGACCTCAAAGTCTTGCCCTCCCAGACGGAGCGCCGTAGTTTCCCATGGCTTGAGGGCCTGGACACCGGGACGGGGCGCAAGTTTCCGGGCTCCATCTTGTGTCGTGAGAAACCTGCGGCCGTCAAGGAGACGCCGGCCGAATTCGTCCAAGTTATCGGGGTGATCTTTGTGACTTAGAAGCACGGTGTTAATAATAGGGAGGTCTTCGAGTTGTAGGGCTGGGCCTTTGGTGTTTTTGAGCACGGTTAGGCCTATATCCTACTTAGTGCCCGCCGGGGAGAAGACGGGGTCTGTGAGGAAGTTGATGCCATCTATGTGCAATATGGCTGAGGCTGTGGTTATGTGAGTGATTGAAAAAGAGGTTTTAAAGGTTGAAGTCATCTTTGCGGTGATTATTGTGGTTTCTGATTGAGGCGGCTTGATCAATGTCCGATAACAGGTACTACCCTTTTTGCGAAGGAAGTAGACGAGAAGATGCCAAGAAATGAGAGGTTGCACAATGTTATATCCTCCATTGATGTAAATTGGGTATTGATAAGCTTGAATCATTGTTGCCGGATACATTTGCCTCAAAGGAGTTTCTGGCTCTGTTATAGCCTATCTGTAGCCTATTCTGTAATATCCGTCTGACAGCCTGACAAATGCCCGCTCCGGTCAGCCCGATCAGAACTCATGACATCGAAGCGGGCAACAAACCAGAACACTTTTTCACTGGATTTAAAGAAAGCAGAAAATGATTTCAGTCTATGAAAGGGAAACTGAGACAGAAATGCGATCGATCCATGGGGTAAATCAACCAAATTGCTTGACTCTGGCACCTGATGGCCCTTCATGGACAACTTACCATCCTGCTCAGCCACAATCAACCAGTCTCTGTGGCTCAGTCGGTAGAGCGTTGGTCTCATATTACCTACATATGACGCTAGATCATCTAGGGATATCCAAAGGTCGCAAGTTCGAGCCTTGCCAGGGACATTTGTTTTGCTCCGGGATCGTTTTACACGGTGCCTTGAACTAACTAGACTTTTGTTTTTGGCCTGTAATGATATTGTTGTGCCTTTGAGTTTTGGGAGAGCTAGCGCCACGTGATGCCTTGACCTGGAGCATCCCTGGCGAGTGACGCGAACACGTGCCAATCGGGACATTTTCGGATCATGCCTTTTTCTGATGGCCATCGAACCGCAGGGGCTCCCAGAGGAGCCTGATGAGGTAAGGCGGGTGAGTCCCGGATGCCTACCGCCCCCGCCTGCGACCTTTCCCCTTCCAATGTCACGGTGCGACTGCGACTTGCGACTGCCAAACCCCTCCATCCCTCCACATTTCCTACGCCTCCGACACACCTTCGCCTACAAGCAGATCGGTCCATCGTCATTGCCTGGCACGCCTGGTCTTCCCTAGGTCATTTACGGCTGGCGGTCACAAGGGTCTCGAAAGCGCATATTAAGCCAAGCCTTTGCTGCGACCAATTTGGGCAGTTTGCCAGTGGCCATCTGATGGACCGACCTGTCACAGCTCGCCCTAAACCATGTCACGGACACCTCCCACACAGACGATGCAGCCAGCGCCTCTAGCTCTGACATAATGCATCGGTTCGCCCTGCCCCCCTCTCGCCGATGCCGACGGCTTATGGCTGGCATAGGCTGTACCTTAGGTAGCTGAAAGCTCATATTCCCAGCAATTCTTCGTCCAGCTGAGACATACGCCTATTACCCCGTACTGCCTACGTCCATTCATCTGCTCTAGGTCGTCTACCTAAGGTGCCGCACCTCCCACCATCTTCCACCGTTTCCCGTCAACTAGGAACAGCTACCTTCGAGACACATCTGCCTTTCAGCCTTGAATCATCAGCCTACCAACCACTTCGTCGCCAAGGAACCAGGAGTATCCTTTTCGAGTCACATTGCTTACCTCGCCGACCAAGTGACCGTTGATTCATTGTCAAGAGGCGAAGGTTGCACACAGAGAGACATCCCTATAAAGACTTGTAGGCAGCGCCAAACATCGAAACCATGGCGGCCAAAGACGACGGCAAGAGCCCCGCGGCATTCGCAGACGAGATGCAGAAGCAAACCCGCAAAGAACGTCGCTTCGACGAGATCGAAGCACAGCTTCCCAACCCAACAGTACCGACCCTGCAGGCAGCCTTCGCGAGCGCCAGCGGCATCCTATCGCATCTAGGCAGCTACAATCCCTGGGGTAGGCCCGTGACTGACGACGACATCGTCTGGCTCCTGGATAACACAGCATACAAGCCCTCTCGTCTGGGTAGCTGGCAGGCCGAGTTCGTCGCCGCGATTTTCGAGAAGGAGCCGAAATGCAAGGTGGTCGATATCGTGCAGGGCGTCGCCGAGAAGCTTGGGCTCTCGGACGATGCAGAGGAGCGCAAAACTATTGAGGAGCGGATCATGCCGTTCCTGTGGGACGTGCAGCCGGCGCGGCACCTCCGCGTCGTGCATCAGAAGAAAGAGCTTAAGCTGGGTCCCTCGGGGTCGAATGGCATTACCACGGATACACTCAAGATCCACGAGCAGCCCACCGGATCGACGGTCACGTCGAGCGCAGCAGTCCCGCGTGGCGCGACGGGCTTGTTGGAGATGAAGACTTTCTTCGCTGCTCCAGAGGGATGGGCAATTATTTCAGGTACGTCAAGGGAGAAATCATGACTATGTCACGACGATTCACTAACCACGGCACCACACAGACATCGACGACACCATCAAGTTGACGCAGACGAGCGACCCCATCGGCATTCTACGCGAGACGTTCGTCAACGAACCGAGACCAATTGAAGGCATGCCGGAGCTGTACCGGAATATCTCAGCCCTCCTGCCGCAGGAGTCGCCGTGGTTCTACCTCTCGGCTTCCCCATACAACCTGTATCCGTTCTTGAGGGAGTTCCGCGACAAGTACTACCCGCCTGGGTCCATTATTCTCCGCGACTCAAGCTGGAAGACGGTTGCAGGCCTGCTGTCTGCGCTGACGATGGCCACAGAGCAGTACAAGGTGGAGCGCATGAAGAAGGTGCACGACTGGCTTCCGAAGAGGAAGTTCATCCTCATTGGTGACTCCACGCAGTCCGACCCCGAGGCTTATGGCGACATGTGAGTACTTCTATCCCCTTCCTCGAGGCTTTTCTTGAATGGGAACTAAACAGCAATCGCAGTTACCGCGAATTCAAGGGTTGGATCAAGCTGATCCTGATCCGCAAGGTCACTGATATCGCAGCCATTGGTATCTCCGCAAAGAATGAGCCGGAACGTTTCGAGAAAGCTTTCAAGAACATCCCTCGCGACGACTGGTTCGTCTTTGAGAACCCCGTCGACTGCAACAAGATTGTTCGCGATACCATTGCCCAAGGCTGAGGAAATGAGGCGGCAAGCTTTTCTGGAACATGGGACAAATTGAATCGTTTGAAACAGAACAACACGGGAGAAGACACGGGACAGTACGGGTTGGAGTTTCTGGCGTAGGGAAACATTGTCTTTTACGCATTGTTTGAACACGACCGTCACGACTTGGAGTTTGAGAAGATATGTAGCAATCCTAATGCAACATTTTTAACATAATTGACCCTCCTGTCCTATAGGCGTCGCTGTCTCTTGCTTGGCAGCGCCTATTTCGATCCAAATCAACTTCTTCTATCTCCTCCAACCTGACTTCCCCTGCACCCAATCCAGCCCGTCGTTGGCCAAGCATGTTCCAAAACCACAGGCCACCTGTGCCTTGCTTATCTAATTGACAGACAGGTGGATTAGAAAGTGCAGTGCCCACCTACCTGTGCTTTGAAGAAGTCGGCCCTCTGAGAGACTTATCGCCTATTGGGAAGGGACGAGTGTCTCTAGGAGTCAGTCTGGTTTCGCGGGTACTTTCCCTACCTTATTTAGAGCGCTTGCCTAGTCGATGTTATCAATTAGCCCGGGTTACGATACGTATCTGGCCCGAAGTCGGATCTCATCTAAGAAAGAGCCTTGTTATATTAGGCATCCTGTCCTGTTAGATATCCTGGCCACCCTCTTCAGTTCCTGCCTCCTAATGCGGGTGAGATGGTCTGAATGTCTTGCATCTGGGTGGTCCTGCAGGAAACCAAATCTGCCACATTCCCGCACACTGCAGGCGGTTCCTATAGACGATCAACCACTTACTCGAATTGATTGGGGTGAAGTCCAGTCTTCAGCTATAGTTTGCCAATATTTTGTGACTCTATATAAGGCAGTACACATAAACCTGACGGCCTGAGGGGAGACACTGGCTGAAGATGATGGCAAGGCAAGTTGGGGGGAGTTTTGGACCTGCCTTACCTTCCATTGTTGCGGATGTGGATTTTCTTCCAAAGGAAGGCAGAAGTCCGCTCTTCCCTCAAGACAGGATCTACCCCTTGCCGTCAGCCCGTAGGCAGTCTCGGAAGGGAGGAAGTAGCAAATGGCATTCCCTGCCATAGACAGCCACTAGTCTCGGAAAGAACTCTCTCCTCTCCATTGACACGACTAACTGTTTACACTGCCCAGCACCCCTCCACAACTTCACTTCTCCCTGACCACATTCAACACCACGAGCAACGAATACACCGACTTTGCTTGTTTGGGCCAGCAACACTACTTCATTCGTTGTAGAGAAATATCAGAAGAATATCATCAATCCGAGAGCCTCGTATTATCCGACAAACTCCACATCCGTTCGCTGCTTTAGTCTGTGCCGATTCATTCTTCCCACTCGGGTTCGAAGACACCATCACTTTTCGTCATGTCTATCCACAGTAACTCACCCCCTCCTGCATACGAACTCCAGGATATGCAGCCGGCAAACCCGGGCATACCTGTAGCCTTGGGCGCACCTGCAGTCCCAGACGCGCCTGAAGCACCGGGCCCAATCGCGCCAGCTTGGGAGCCGAGCGTCAAGAGATACAAAGCGCTTACCTAGGTCCTCGGCGGTCTCTGGTTTCTTATGTCTATTGTGCTTTTTTCATGCGATGCCGCTGTGATCTTTTACAGCTACGCCAAGGGCAACCACAACAGTACAGAGTTCTTCTTCTATGGATCAGTCGGCGCTGTTTTCGATGGATTCCTCGCCGCAAACACGATGTATAATTTGCTTCGACAGCGCAACGGAACTTTCAAGCACACCCTCTCGTGCTTGTCCTGGATATATTTCTTCGCGACCAGTGCCATAAACCTGGCGATCCTCCTGGTTTGCCTCGGTAGCTTCAGGTCTCACGCTCTCCGACATGACTGTTGGGTGATAGCCTCTCATTGCAATACATTGGCGGCCTCCTTCATCTCCATTTTGCCCCTTTATCGGACTCTTTTGAAGAGTGCACCCGGTCGTTGCGAGTGCATGGATGGTGTACCGGCTCCTGATAATGTGGTATGATTGCGGTTAGGCGGATCTGGACGATTAGACGCGCAAAGCTGGGCCCTGACAAGACAACGGCGTAAGTGCGATCTCCACGAGCACATTTTCAACACCACCATCATGATTTCGTGAGGGCTGACGCATTTGGAACCAGACCATGACAATCTTGCAATGCTTTGTGGTCTGGTTCGAGCGGAAGTCGAGGCAGAAGAATAACGAGATATGGCAGCCGACGGCTCACAGGGCAATGAATGAGAGTAGCCTATACAAACAGCGAAAGCATGAGTTATAATTTGCGTGGGAACGATATGTAAGATAGCGTTCAGACACTTGAATAGCAGTACAAACAACCTAGTCAAATCGCTAAACTGATACTAGTGATGTGTCTTGCACACAGTTCTGTTGCATTTACAGACTGAATGTACAAAAAGAACTTGGAGTTTAACGACCCTTTACGCCTCTTGGAAACATGCTGTATAACCCATCGTCTGATAAATATAGTAATATTACCAAAGCTTAAATACAAGGCTTGTTCAGAATACCACTGGGCTTGACGCAGAAGAGGGTGCACTCCCCGACCTCGATCTGATGCTGCTCGGGCCCGACCCACTGCTGGCAGTCGTACCACTCGGACCAGTCCTTCTTGCTGGTCCAGGCACCCGGGCCGGCACCTTTGCGGACGCAGTTGCGGCCGTCGACGTTGATGATTTGGTTCAGGATGACGTTTTGGCGGTGGTTGTTGTATTGGTCTTTTGTGCAGGTGTTTCCTGCGAAGGAGGAGCAGCAGATGCTGATTGCCTGGGAGGTTCCTGCGGCGGCAAGGAGGAGGAGGGGGGTTAGGGAGGGAAGCATTTTGGCGGTTGTTGTGGGGGTGGATGTGTAGGATGTTGTCACCTGGTGAGGAGGAAGGTCTCTGATAGGGCTAGGAGTATCGTGTAAGAAAGATTCGAATTGTTCTTGGCTAATAGCGAAGGACTTTATATCCACAGGTCTTTGAGTTCAGGAGCCTGACACATAGTCGCTGGTGGCACCCGGACGGCCGTGTAAGCTTTTCTAGAAGAACTCGTGGAACCGTGTAGGTTCAAGTGTCTAATCTAGTACGCATTTTTGAGATTCCGTGTAATCTCGGGTCTCGGTCGTGTAGTTTGCGGCATCTCGGCGAAGGGGCAGAGAAATGATCTAGACGTGGACTAAAAGACTAATTGATTGAATACGAGGGAGCGCAGGCCAGGAACTGGTAGGAGTTGCTGCGAGGAAAGCTTAACTGAGAGAATTGGAAAGCCTATGAGAAGTCTGTGCTTCCCTATTACTTGAAGCAAGTCTTTCATCTTGAGGTTGCTTGGAAAGTATTGTAGCTACTGGGTAAAGCGGACAAGATGCTCAAAAGCGCTTTGATGGGTGAGCGGGGAGTAATTGATGATCTGCGACCTTCAAGCAGTCTCAGTGCAGGGCAAGGAGACTAGCAACAAGTTCATGCAAAAGCTAAGTTTTCTAATTGATGTGACCTTGACTCTTCAAAAGCTATGGCTGATGAGGTCGTCATTGGTAGAAATCTGGTTGGCCGACGAGTTTATCGCCCATTCGTCATACTCAAGCATGAGAAGACGCCACAGGTCTATTGCTTCCCGGGTCTCTGTGCATCATCCTTGCAATTGTAGCTGCGCTCTCGGAATTGCTCATCAACAGAAGAGAACATAGGCGCAAGAGAACCGCAAAGCCGTCTGGTCTCGAAAGGGACATGGGGTCAGTCCGATCAACGTGTGCTCTCATTCCGATTACCCCTTTGGGACGTCTTCAGAAAGTGGAGAATGACACTACTGCATCTCGGCCGCTTGGGGGCATGCCGATCTCCGGAGCAGGAGTCGCAGCGAACGCTCCTGCGGGGGAAGTGCGATTAGGTGCCCCGATCCTTGTCCGGGGGCCTTGGAGCCCAACATTGAGAAACAACCTCCCCGCACTTCGGCCTGGACGAGCTTCTAATCCTGGCAACACCAGAGCGATATATCCGAGATGAGGGAGCGTCTTGATGCTTGACAGCATTCATGGCTCGAAAGAAACGTGAATATGTTCCCAAAGTCAAGGGTATGTTTGCCGTCCCTTTCGAGCCAGATTCTAGCGTTAAGAGGAGGCAGACTGGTTGATGACTTCCGTTGTGGTTAGGATGTTACGAGTGCTCCCAACGTCGAATCGATTGCGATGGCACGCGTCCGAGTTGCGCAAAGTGCAGAAACCGCGGCATCGTTTGCAGCGGCTTTGTTTTGAAGTATAAGTTCTTGGATGGCTTTTCATCACGGCAAAAGTCCATTTCTGGTGGTCGAAGTGCGTTGTTGAAGGACGCCCTTGCTCAGACAGCGCCACATGGTTCCGCGAGGGTCATACCAAAAGTACTCGAGCCGTTTCGGGACTCACAAACTTGGGACGACGTGTATTGGAACAGCTCGGCTCGTACTTACGGCGATAGTGGCCAGTGGCCTATTGAAGATGATACTTCAGTGACAAAACCAGGTTGCGACGTCAATAGCCCTGGCAGTAAGTGTCATGCCAACGACAAAGCGGAATCATCATCGGGTATCATCGACGATTTTTGCATCATATCGCAAACTTCCGGGCCAGATGCCGACGGTGTCTCCGCAAGGCCACTATCGCCATTGAATCTCAGCGTGCTGGAGCCGTGGAAAGAGTTCCTACTCACTCATTGTAAGTTCAAGGTTCACTGTCGCTATCATTAACCACCCATTTTCGATCAAACTCTATGAGTCTTGGCTGATAGTGTGATTCAGTTTCAGAAGCCATCGCCCCCGAGATGGTTGTAGTGGATGACATCAATAACGGATGGCGACGTTTGATCCTACCAATAGCATGGTCAAACACAATGGTAATGGACGCCGTTCTTGCCGTGTCGGCATTCCATCTTTCGGGCAGGGTGATCCTACAGCCCGTAATCAATCCGGACAGGCTCTATGCCTTAGCAATCAGTCAGCTGTTGAACCGCAAGGACCTGGCTGATCGAAGTGATGAGCCCAAACAGCTCGTCGTTCTGGCCATTGTTGTGCTTCTGGTTTCTGTCATGGTCAATGGTATGCCGGACTTTCCTATTGTCTTCCAAATGCTGGAGTCCGCCGTAACGGCTATTGGAGGTGATGCGGCCCTCACAGATGGAGGAGAGATGGGCAATTTTCTTTTGAGGCAGATTCGCAAGTAAGTTATCGCCTTCGTATTCATGTTCTGTTGGCTGGACTCTCTTGCTCATAGTTGCCAGGATGCGAGTCTACGCTGCACCTCTAGTCAGTCAGGATGCCGGAAAGAACGCAATTTTGTACCATTCCCGAGAGAGTTTCGACTGTCTCTACTACTACCACAGCTTGTATCCCGATCATTGTCCAACGTTTGACCTTATCGCCGATATCCGCCAGCAGGCCTTCAACATGTACCTCTGTCGAGTGTTGACAAACAACAACGAAACCCCTTCACTCCCCTTATGTGTCGATGCTATCGGGACGTTTCAACGGAGCCTGGAGGCTTTCCCAGAAGGTGCACTAGGGGAACACATACTTGTCTGGCCAACGTTCATTGCTGCGCTCGAATGTCATACCCTTGAGCAACGCCATTTCTTTGAACAGTTTCTACTAAGGCAGTATTATCGTAACAACTTCTTGAATATCCCGAAGGCTTTGGAGTTTCTGAGGGGTATTTGGTTGCAGGATACCCTTCAGTCAGACTGGCCTGCACTTATTCCGAGACTTCGGGTTTTCATCATGTAGAAAAGCCTCAAGCTCAAGGAGCCGCGGGCGGGTTATTAAATTGAAAATATCAGCTACTAGTCATACCTCTAGATTTGATGTAGCGTCTGAGGTCTTTCTGCTTGAGGACTTGGAGTGGCAACATGTAGTGTTGCCCGCAAAGAAATGACTATAAGTTGGTTGAGAAAGAAATACGTACTTTACTGGTGATGACATATAATGAGTTTTTCCAGGAAGAAGAAAGGCTCGTACCTATCATATGACACGTTAACATTCTGCCAAGACATCCCTCGCTGTTGTTCACAAATAAGATTCATTAAGAGTACATCACTAATTGTTGCAAAGAAAGCAAAGGCCGTTTTGCACGAAGCCGAATCATCACAGAACTTTTCGATGACTTTTCTGTTATTAGTTCAACAATAATACTATCTGAAGGATGCGTGTACCTCTCAATACAGTTCTGAACAAGATAGTTTGTACGTGGGAAACATTATGCGATAAACTTGACATATGCCGAACTACCAGACAGATCCGGACAAATCCTTGCCATCGGCGTGGAAAACCAAGGAGACACCCTCGCCGGCGTCAATGCCCTCGATCGGGGTACCAGGCTCGACCGTCGAGGCAGAGATGCCGATGCAGGTAGTAGCGCAGAGAGGGTTAGCCTGCGACATGCAGAACAAAATGCAGGCCGCTAAGCACTTAGGCTACATGTGCTTCTCTGTTAATGTACTAATATTAGGAATTAGGAGATGGACACCATCGTGGGGCTTTTGAATAACACGTACAAACATGATAGTCTAAGGAAGATAGTCTCAGCAATCTTAATCGAAGTTCTCATTGAAGGCATGATAGACCACTAGTACGAGAAACTTCTCACTTAGTATTTAAAGTTACCTTGATTAAATACAAGACTAAGCTTATACGGTTATTGTGGTTGTGAGCCACAACCAAAATCATGTGTTCACAGTCCTGACACCTCCACAGTCGCAGAGATAAACCATCAAGTCTATTGTTTCACAAAATGCTCTAGATTCTCGCTCCCTATGTCCAAGTTGTGTGGAGCACAATTCTCAGTTCATGTGCTTGTGGCTGGGAGAAACGCATCAAACTTTTCCAGCAAGTCGGCGTGGCCGTTGAATAGAACCTCCAGCTTGCTGCGGGCCGCTGCCTGCTTCTCTGCCCGAGCAGCTTGCCACTCTTCTATTGACTCCCTGGGCGGAACGTCTATCTCCTGTAAAATTTCAAGGAAAGCGGAATATTTCTCTGGCTGGCTAGCCTCGAACCGGCTCTGAAAAGCAACATAAGTTAGTGTTTAGGTCGCCATCAATTAAAATGGGCCTGACCTACCCGCACTTCTTGGACAAAGCCAAGCGACTTGTTGAATCCAGTTTGGTCGAACACAAAAGGCGTTGGATCGTTAGATTGATTTGGAATGCTTGGGAAGTCGGCTGTCGAATCTTTGGACTCCATGTGTGTAAAATGTTCCTCGAAAGAAGGAGTTCGCAAAAGACCGAATGAGATTCCAAGTTGACCTTGCGCATCAGAGTTTGCTGGCGTCATAGAACTGACATGAAGTTGGGGAGCTCTCATACATATACCCCTAACTAAGTGAACGGGGGAGTTTTGGACGCTCTGAGACGGGGCTCGTGTTGTGCAGTTGAAGGAGGGCTACGCGTAGAGGAATCGTTGCCGCCATTTAGTGATGAACGCAACAGGGGCTAAGATCCTGGCCCCTCAGCCCACAACAATGCTGTTGGTCATGGTGGCTTGGCCTCGTTGGTCGGATGCCGAAAATATCGGTGTCCGATTCGAAGCATGTCGCAGCCTAAATTACACATGCTGTGCCGCAACTTCGCAACTGACTGCCCAGGCGCGAAAATTACGGTGAGACCACAGTACAAAGGACCTTTTGGTGGGTCCACGACGTGGCATTGTGCGCATACTGCGGAGTAGACTTTGCATGATCACACATCGTATCACCATTTAGCTCAAGGCCCAGTAACAACCGCTGAGGCCTTAATTACTTAGAGCTGGGGTTATGGGTTTTACTGATTAAGTTTATCCATTATCCTGTAAGATAGGCAATGCAAGACGTGTCGATGTAGAACCCTTCAATTTAGATATATGCGGTTCTCTACACTATCAAATCCAGTTTTCGTGACCATGGTCTTCTTGGTTGAAATTCTCTGAGTCAAAGACTTGCCCGAGGCACAGGTCGGAGGGCATCAACAACCTCCTCGGCTCCTTGCTCTCCTGAGCATAGCGCCCCTTCCATGTAACCCTTCCACTCAGTCGAGTACTCTGTGCCGACGAAATGAAGATTGCCAACTGGTTTGCCGTATACATCAGAGTACTCTGTAAAGTGGCCAATCTCAGTGATAGGCGCAAGAGCGCCCTGACTGAACTGCTCGTGCTTCCATATCTGATCGAAGGTTTCGATAGGACGAAACGCTTCCGAGTCAACGTCGACATTGAAAACCTCAGCTATCTGCTTTAAAACAACTTGCCGACGCTCGTGGGGGTACAGCTTGGACCAATCTTCTCCAAATTTGCCATTGACGAAGCAGGTGAGAGCGAAGGTCCCTGTCTCGTCGACACTGGTGTCGCGTGCAACACAGACAGGTCCCTTGTAGCTCATGAAGAAACCATTAAATCCAAGACCTCTCCACCAAGGTTTTTCATAGCATAGAATCGCTTTGTTGTAGTGTCCAAGCTTTGATGAGTCGGTGACCTCTCGGACCCTTTGAGGCAACAATGGTGAGATGTTGAGATCGCGAAGCATAGCGCTTGGCACAGAGATGATAGCCTTTCTTCCTAAGAAACGCTGGTTTCTGGACGTGATTACAACAACGTGGGTTTGATGATTCTCAATTGCAGCGACAGGGGCCGAAAGATGGATGTTGCTTTCTCCGATCAAGTTGGCAATGCCGTTTGCGATCTGTTGCGTGCCTGATAAAAAAGTTTTGAAATTAGCAAAGTAAAAGAAGCCTACGGAGAGTGGAGCTTACCGCCATGAAAGCGCTGATAGTTGCCGCCCGTCTGATCATCGGCACGGATGGAGAATAGGCCGCCGTTGCGCCGGCAATAGTCAATGAAGAAAGCTGCTGACTCTTGGCTGGAATCAACTCCATGCATCACTCTGGCCCAGAGGTTGATCATTTCCACCGTCTTTGGAAGAGCACCAAAACCTCGCACATATTGGTCAAGAGATATCTTGTCGTCTTCTCTCCTAGGAGCTTCATGCTTCAAAGAGACAGCTTGGATGTGGTCGCGAATCTTCTCGAGGTTCTTCTTCTCCTCAACCGAAAACTGAACAGACGAGAATGAGCTCTGAAATATGGTATACACAAATACACCAATGAAGTTGGAGAGATTTTATCTACCTCGGGTATAATGCCGAATGGAAACTCGACCCTACTGCTGTCGGCCAGCTGCATGACGGCAGTACCTTTGAGTCTCTGCGCCACTGTCGGCAGTTTGAATTTCTTGACATATTTCGCCATACGACTCTGCGTATTCTCGTTTATCCAGGCAGCGCCCAGATCGGCGACGCCTTGTCCAGAGGCCAGCGGTACGCTCCACGTTTTACCGCCAACACGATCACGAGCTTCGACGACTGCGACTGAAAGACCGGCTTGTTGGGCGGAATAGGCAGCCTGAAGGCCGCTAAGACCGGCTCCAACAATAACGACGTCAAACATAGTATGTTTGAGGATAGCGATACCGGTTTAGGAACCGATTGGTTTAGTTGGAGGGTTAGTCTGTTGGGTTGTGAGGGGCTTGGACTCAATCCAGATGCTGCAATGCTCTGAAATGCAACTGCACAGAGCTGCATCCTTATATCTTCTGCTCACGTCCCGGGTCCAATTTTCGAGACGAATCATGTGCGTCCACTCGGAACGACATGGCCAATCTGTGTTGAAACTTGGCAATATGCCGCCCGGTCGAGCATTGTCAATTTTCTTCCCCATTGAGTAAACTAAATGAGAAACCAAAGAGCAACTGCAAAGACCTCTGCCAGTTCAGGTCGTGAAAGTCAAAAAAGGTCCCCACTGCCGCTCGAAGGGCCTAAGGTAGATAAAAGTCAAAGTAAGGTAGGTCATAACCTTTTGCCTAATGTGGTAAACAAAAAGAGAGGATTTGTTTGTTGATAGGCTAAGTCTATTCTTGCTACCCACTGCTGCATGGTGTTTCCCCGCACCCGGTGATCGTCGACTTCCCCCGAGATCGGGGCAAAGAATCGGGGTTGTCCCATCAGACAAGCTCACAAGCGCATATCAAAGGAATTCGAAGGCGAATTTGTGTCTGTTTCGCTATAGATTGCTTTCCAGTCTGTTCATGTCACATAGATCCGCAGGGCCTCACCATCCCGGGGCTTGTGCTTTCCTTCAGCCACCCTTCTGTTGTGAACAGTGTAGATTGCAACCTGGAGAACTGCGAATGCCATTCCCACTGATAC